TGCACGTTAAGACTTGAGATTATTGCGGTTTAAAACAACAACAAAAGTGGAACCGCAGGAATCAGATAGATGGAAAGACTGAGCAGGTAGAATGTAGTGGACTGTCAAATCGCGCGGTCAGAAAGAAGATGCATGATAGTTAAGAATGTTGATTGCTGAGTTCTGTGAGGGGGATTGGGATTTTGTTCTTCAAACACGGTAATATGGCTCTTTTATATCTTAAATTGAGGCCCCAATCGCAAGAAGGACTGAATATCGACAACTTGCGTAAAACAAATTTACGTGAGATTAACAGGATAAGTTCAGTAGGAAAGAATTGCAGCTTCTTAGATAGGACATTGCTGGATGAAAATTAAGTAAAATGCAAAGAACAAGGGGAAGAGTAAAAAGATGGAGAAGCATTCTGATCTCAAATGCTTTATAACTCTTGTAGCAAGTTGCTCTGTGGGATCAAGAGTTTGGAATGATGTAATTTTAAACCTCTTTCTGTCTCCTGAATGTTCTTATATGGGATTCTCAAATTGGATCCTGAGAGATCAATTGGTAGCTGGTTATTCTTTTATAATCCATCTCTAGACTGTGACTTGTTCAGTTCTCATAGTTTTCTAGCCTTTCTTTTTCAAGCAATCTCAGTTTAGGTCTTTGCCTTTTTAAAGGCTCCAACCTGGTGTGTGGGGGGGGCGTAGGCCGCGGACTGCTTGTCTGAGAAAGGTTTTCGTGGGTGGGTGCAGGTGGGTGGCCCATGAGAGCTTTCTTACCTCTTTCCTATGTACCTCTTTCGTATGTTTGTTTCATCATCTCTATTCTTCTTTCTTAGCTCTCCTTACCCTGTTCCTTCCCATGCGACTTTTTGTAGGGTGGGTGGGACGGTCTTTGAAAAAAGGGAAATATATGTTCTATATTTCTGCTAGAAGCTTAAATCATAGATTTATAGATTCGAGACTGAGGTGTATGAGTGTTCTGGGGCGTACAGACTTGTGAAGATTAAAAATTTTCACAGTTTATATCGCCTGTGCATCTTCAGGCCGGGTATTGTCCCGGCCCCGTCTCTTTTAACTCATACACCGCGTCATCTGTCCCAATGGAACTCACCGATGATGTCGTGCCTTTGGTCACCAGTGGCAATCCATCTCTAGACTGTGACTTGTTCAGTTCTCATAGTTTTCTAGCCTTTCTTTTTCAAGCAATCTCAGTTTAGGTCTTTGCCTTTTTGAAGGCTCCAACCTGGTGTGTGGGGGGGCCGTAGGCCGCGGACTGCTCGTCTGAGAAAGGTTTTCTACCTCCTTCTCTCTGGACAATTGGCGTCCTGAGCCCGTCGAAAACCTATCTACAACCTGAGTTCAGAGGTGTCTGTATCAAAATAGATCTCCTGTTTAATTCCGTCAAACTCTAATTACAAGTTTCTAGTTCATCTTCCTTTATCGTTCATTTCCCCTTTCCCCACAATCACTCCTTTTTCCTGATTTGGTTCTCTTCTTTTCCCCTTACTTCCACTATGTCATGTGTCTCCTTGATCTTTTGTTCAATGCAAGGAATCAGTATCTCTCTCTTCTTAACATCCTTCCAATTTATACACTCACTTCTTGGTTCTGCCAGTCTTCGTATTGCAGCAATTTCCACAGGTCCCTCGATTCTTTCTTTTCTTCTTGACTATATTTCCTCAGGTAACCTTGGTATGCTTTGGACTGCCATCTACCAATCATCGTGGTTTCCTCTATTGGCTTGTTCTCATTCCATCTTAGGGTAGCACCTCCTACTCTGAACGAGTGCCCCGAAAGATTCGATTCACCGTTGTGTGATTTCCGCACTCTTTTGTAGATTCCTATCAATTTGCTCCTTGAAATTGTACTTCGTGTTCCGTTCTCTTCTAGGTAAGAGAAGAGAGGATCTCTCGGTCCTGTCTTATTCTTGCTCACCATTCTTTCTAGCGCTGCTGTTGCATCAAGGTACGATCGTTGTTTCTTGAGTTTTATGTATTGAATTTGTCCTGGCTTTGCGGTTTTCGCATTATAAATTGTGATCGTCAGTCTATCTCCGTCTGTTGAGGCATGTACGTCATTTCGTTTTGCTAATTTCTTCTTCTTGTCATCTGAAGCCAGCTCTCCTAGCCTTGCCATTCCCCAGAACGCCACTAACGCTATCGTTAAGGCTACCTGATCTCTCTTATTTCCGTTCGACAGGTGACGTAATAGTTGTACCAGATGACGAAGTAAAACCGGCCTCTTCTGTTCTTTTTCCAACGCTCTAAAGGCTGCTTCCGCTACTTTTGACGACTTCAATAATACTGACAACTTCAGCGGGTCATACTTCGGGTACTCTTCATTATGAAATAGATGCCAACATTTCACTCCGGTAAGATATTTCTTGAGTGTTTCCACCTCTATTGTTGCTGATGTCCTTTCCTTCTTCTCTAATAATGTTACATTTCCTTCTAATTACTTCCCTGCCCAAACGACAAACTCGTACAATATCTCTAATGAGAGTGGTAACAGCTTCTTCCGTTCATACCCTTCTTCATTTCCGAATTTTAATAACTTTGATACTCCACTATTATAACTTATTAACGTACATTCTGCCCACCCTCCTGATAGCATGTGAGCTTGCACTTTATTTTCTCTCCATTTTATTTCACCTTTTGCATTTTGTAGAAATAATGTTATCTTCTTTTCTACCTTGGGTGAAATCATTCTCTTTCCAATAGCAGTGCTAAATCCTCTGGGAGATCGATTTCGATTCTCGGTCCTTGTTGGTTTTCTTCGTCTCGACCTCGCGATAGACCGTCTGCGTCGTTATCGCCGGATTTGACTTGTTCTTCGGTTATATCACACTGTAAACGTAAGAGAATTTCTTGAATTTGTTTCCACTCCTCGTTCACCTGTTCGTTTTTGGACCGTCTTTTATGAATGGTTGACTCAGTTGTTGTGTTGTCGGTTTTTACCCAGAAGTTCCTTCCTCCTACTACTGTCAAAACTTCCAGCATCAGGAGTCCTATTCTTATCGCGGCCGTTTTGGCCCACCCGATTTCCCGACGTGTTTCATCTGATTTCAATCCTACTGTCGCCCAATCCTTCTTTAATTTGAACCTCAACCAACCAAACTCCATTATCACTCCTATCCTTCTTCCACTCGCGTCACCCACCCAACCAATCCTTTCCGGTTCCACTGCCGGCACTATTCGTCTTGGTCTTAATTCACAAGGTTTCCCTCCAACTTTTGAGATCTTCTCTAGCCGCTCTAGACAGATGTCTCTTTGCGTTGTGATTCATCCATGGATTTAACCAAGAATATAGGCCTCTCATATATGGTTTCATGTGAGGTACGGTGTACATTAGGTGTCCGATTTTCCCTATCAGTGAGTCTGCGTCCTTCAGACCCCATGGTCCATCATTATCCAACATGTTACTGATTTGATCAATGCGTTCTTGTAATTTTTGTCCGGCAACCGTACCGTTTTTTCGATTCCGTTGAAGATGAATCCTAGGTATTTTTGTTTGTCGGCAAATCCTCTCAGTTTCTCCCGGTTCGTTTTCACACCCATTTGTGTACTCAACTCCACTACATCTTCTATTTGTAAGTCTCCTCCCTTTATTTTCACTATCATATTGTCATCCACCCATCTGAATATCCTATCTATTCCCAGCCTTCGCTGAATGATTAATCTCCATGCATCTGCCACTTTACCAGAGGTTCCGCACCCTGCTACTCCTCCAAACGGGACAGCAATATCCATCCATATCCAATTTTCAAAGTCCTTAATCGCTAAGTACCTCCACTCTTCTTCCTTCGTACACGCTTGTCTATACGCCTTTTCCCAGTCGTATGTTGCTAATTGAATTGCCACCTTAATGTTTGCTCTGAAATAGCTTGCCACCGCATAACAGTTGTCCCATGACATGTTGAAGTCGTGTTTATTCACCATGGAGTTCACAGATGGTACTTCTTCGTTACCGACCGGGTATGATAAATCATTCATCATCCTCAGCGATCCGTCGTTGTTCACTACACTACCCATAGGATTTGTCCGGAAGAAGCCCCATTTCCTGTACATCTCTTCATGTGTGAAGGGCCCAAAAACTCTTCCAACTGCCCTTTCTTTGTACAAGTTCCTCATTATCTTCTCTCTAACAGCCAGCGCGGAACTGTGGTTATCTGGTGTCCACCATATTTTGTTCTTCAGGTAATGTTCCGGGATTCCTTGAGTGAATCCTTCGCATAGTCCTTTTATAACTTCGTCCACCTTGCCTTCAACTTCACAAGCTGCCGCTAGCTCTCTACATTTCTTGATGTTCATTTCACACCTCGCTTTCGTCGGCCATTTACCGTGAGTTTCTCTTTTGTTATTTGGTTCTTGCATATTTATGCATGATTGATTCGTTTTAATTAGGACCTGCTCTTTTTCCACACCTATTTCTAAATGTCAGTGACTGTCTCCTTGTTGCACTTTATTAGAATCTTACTCTGGTCTCTTGGTTGGTCGTGATCTGCTCTTTGGACCGTTACGTCTCGTGTAACTTCATTCACTTCATGAGGTGTGTCTCCACGTTTTCTGTAACTTGCGGTCTCAGATCTGATCAAAACAAAAAACAGGGGTGGCTGACTCAGTTTCTTACTCTCACTTCTCATGTGGGTCACTCTCAAACTTTTGGGGTTCTGACTATGTTCTTTTCATTTCAATGTTTTAAAGTACTTCTATTCTTATCAAGAATCAATTGCAACTTACTGTTGACTTCCCGCACTATTGCTTGTCCCTGCCTGTCTTGCTGCTTTTAAGGCTTCAAAGGCCCCTGGTCCAAACTTCGGGACCGCCACTCCGTTTATCATCGTGGTTGGGGCTTGTTGAGTCATTGTCCTCATGATCCCGCCTCTTCCACTTACTCCATGTCCATTTCCTCTTCCTCTTCCTCTCTTTCCTCTCCCACGTCCATTACTAACTCCTCCATGACTCCCACTTTGCTCGTGGTCATCATATCCTACGTGATTCCCAAAGTTGTCGTGATGATGCTGTCCATTGGACTGAGTGTGACCATGTTCATGATGACTTCTCCCTGGTGTTGCTAAGTGTGACAACATCCGTCCTCCCGTGACTGCCGTGATTTGTTCATCTGAGTTAGATAGTAAGTCCCAACCGATTTGGTTTCTGCCTGTCCAGGGGTTGATGTTTTCTAACGCTCCTCCTACAATGTATGGGTTATCAAAATAGCGGTGATCGCCGTTAGCTTTGGATTCCGTTATCGCTTGCTCAACTAGGTCTTCATTATGTTCTCCTACATCCGATAAGGTTCCATCTGACAAGGCATGACTGAAAACGTTTGTTCTATGGGTGATGTCGTACCTCAAAGCTGGTGCAAATGTGTCATGATACTTTGCTTTTATTGCTAGGACTAATTTATAATGTTCTTCTAATCTCAACGCTATATCTTCACGTTGGTATTTTGTTCTCCAGTACTGTACGCATAAGTTAAATGAGGTTGACCACATAAGAAAACTTTGCCTCCATTCGCTAGGTACCCTCAAACCTACGTAGGACAAGACATTGGAGCAAGACGAGGACTGTTTCCGCCTATTGGCCATGTGCGTTGTATCCGCTAGTAACCAGGCTGGTACAAAAATCGTGAGCGGGACGTATCCGAAACAGGCCACCATCTTATTGTTCCAATATGCCGAGAGTTCAATCAGGCGGTGAGTCAAGACTTTCCCTGGGTTCATTGTCTTCCCTATTTTGATCGGTTTATCGGTGTCTTGTGCTTTGCTTTTCCTCTTCACAGCTCCTGACACCTGCTCCTCTTCCTCATCACTTGAACAACCTAGCATCTGAATCATTCGTGGCTTAGAACCGTTCTTTTTGCACCACTCCTCATAAGACATCTTCAACATTTGGAATCTTCCTGTTTTTCCTTTTCGATACAGCTTCATCAACTCTTCTGCATAGTGATTGTGTTCTCTCTCAATGTGAGCGCTCTCCATGACAAACTCTGCTTCATCTCCTGTGTATCATCCAACCAGATAGAATGTGTTCTTATATCAGCACCTATTCTCTGCTCCTAGGACTTCAAAATTTATAATGTTTTTCAATTGCAACGAGGGCTATTCTAGATCTTTCTGACCCACCTGTGTGGCAACAGTGACTTATTCTATCTGACCCACCCGTGTGGCAACAGTTCTAATTTCTATATCAAGCATTTCTGACCCACCCTTGTGGCAACAGTTGTAAGAGCACTTCTGATCCACCCGTGTGGTTTCAGTATGAAGACTACTTCTATTTCTGACTCTTTCTTTCACCCGTCTTGTTTCAGGTTATCATTGTCTTGCGCTTCAACTCTACGGGATATGTCCCTTTCTTTGACTCTACGGGATATGGCCCTTTTCTTCTAATAGTGTGATAGATAAAGTGGAATAATTTGGAATATTTTATTTGATTCAAACTTACCTAAAGATATTATTTCATCTACCTCTTCCTCATCCTCCTTATCTCCTTCCACACTTCCATTTATGCTTCTGTCTCCTTCTTCATCTTCTTTTACTTCTTCCAACTCTGTTAACTCTTCATCTTCATCTTCTGTAGTAGCATCCTTTGGTTTACGTATCTTTCCTTTTGTTGCACTTCTTGTCGGTCTAGTTGATGTCGCGCCGCCTCGACCTCTTCTGCCCCCTCTACCTCTTCCCCGTGTCGCTTTCCCTTTTCCTCTAGTTGTGCTTGTGTCTTCTTGTTGATTCATTTCTCTATCATGATTTTTGAGAATTTGTTGTACGTCTTTGTTGAAGGTTTTGGTTGAAGCTTGACCTTGTTCTGCCATCTTTAATTTCTAATTTTTGAAAAAAGGGAAATATATGTTTTATATTTCTGCTAGAAGCTTAAATCGTAGATTTATAGATTAAAGACTGGGGTGTATGAGTGTTCTGGGGCGTACAGACTTGTGAAGATTAAAAATTTTCACAGTTTGTATCGCCTGTGCATCTTCAGGCCGGGTATTGTCCCGGCCCCGTCTCTTTTAACTCATACACCGCGTCATGTGTCCCGATGGAACTCACCAATGATGTCGTGCCTTTGGTCACCAGTGTCAATGAAACTGTCCTCTTGAGTACTCAAGGCATGCCTTTGTGGACTCCTCCCACATATTGTGCCTCCTGCAAGATCCTATGTTTTGACCAACAGGATTTTCTCCAAACTCAAATAAGTCATTTGCCAAAGGCCCAATGAGTAAGGGACTTAACACTAAGAATGGTTTTCTTGTCTCAGAAGTCAGCACATGTATTGGCTCAAAAATGATGGGATCCTAAGTTAAAATACAGGAATGTGCCCCGGATTTCAGAATCCCCTTTTGGCTGTAGTTTTTTTCTTTTTTTTTTTTTTCTTTCTGGAACTGCATCCATGAAGAGATTCCTCAATTATGGGAACATGCTTGGATTTTGACTTTCTATCCTGTAAATCTCTACTGCAAATTCCTTGGGTAATTGCTAAATACACAGGGCTCAAAGCAAAACAAACATAGGACTGCAAATGCTTATTACATATGGTACTGCAAGCTCTTCTAAAATTGTGTGAAATTCCTGCTTTTGGGTCATAAACTGGGAGTCTTGTTCAAAAAATTCTATGTGGTGTGCACGCTTAAAGCCTGTCTTCCTCAAGAATGGGTAAAGATGCCCACTTGTCTATCACCTGAAAGTAGAAGTTCCCAAAGAGATAAGGGTCAGATTGAAGTTCAAGTGTATGTTATGCACCAAGGAAGGTTTCTTGACCCAGGAAAAACATAAGCTGCTATAAAGTTCTTTGAGCCAATACAGCTCACCTCTTGAGCAAGGAAGCTGCTTTTAACAGTACATCCCTCACTCAAGCCTCGGGCCTTTGGCAAGGGACTTGGTTAAGTTTTGATATGCCCCAGACTTTTTGGACAACAATCTGGTTCACCAAAGGCATTGTTCAACCTGGCACAACTATTCACGCTGTTGCATATGTAAACACAAGTTCACAACTGTAATCACAGCAGATTGGCGCTTAAAATCTCAATGTGACAAAAATAGAAGACCTTTGTCAGCTTGACTTCCAGAGTTGGTATTGGAAATCTGGGGAGGGCAGAAGACGCAGAAAAAAACGCTAGGAGTTTTATCGGAGCCCTCTGAGGGGTTTGTTGTATGGATGGTAGGGTAACTAAAAACTCGATTTGGTATCAGGCTGGATTTGCAAACTTAACAATAAGTGGCAAGCCCTTGGCAGGCTCCGGGCAGGCTCATGCGCGCGGTTGTTGGGGCTTGCGGTAAAGCAACATAGCAGTGGAACACGTTCTACTATATCAACATTGATGCCGTACGCAGCTCCAAACATGATGCCGGAAGCCGTACATCCCACATCATCAAACTTAACTAAGTTTGCTGTCGATGGGACTTATTTGCCGGTGGGACTTTTAGGTTTGCCGCATCATGACAAGAAGTTCAAATTTCTCAACGTGTCACTGCCATCATGGGTAGCACGTCAGCACTCAAGAGCTCGTGGCTTAGAGGTTGATAATCATGAGGGACAAAGCATGGTATCCTGATACATACAATCAGAAGAGCCAGTTGACGGAACGATCACAAATTAGCAAGAACGTGCTACGTAACGCCTGTCTTGCACCTCATCTTGCACCATCGAAGGGTGAGACGCATGTAAGAATTCCAATTTCATCAGATCAAGCTTGGAGTGTGTACACAGCTTACTGTTGGTCTCAAAAAGGTTGGTCAGGATCCTCCGCCAACGGATTTTGGTTTTGCGAGCAGAATCGCGCGAGATTTTTGCATCCAACGGTAGATGAGCGGCGAGCCCAAATTCACCTTAACACAAGTCCAAATTCTTACAGAGCGCTCTTGACCTTGCAAGCTCGAAGCCCACACGAGCTTGCGAGGAAACGGTGTTTGACCGGAGGGACTTGGTCAAGTTAAAGTCCACATACTCCCTTTGATCGCCATTCCAAGGCCACTGCGTCATTTGCCTTCTTGAGACTTGTAAGATAAATGAATCATGTAAATTTAATAATCAATGACTTGGATTCTCAATAAGCTGCCACTCAACAACGAGGGAATTTTGATAATCTAATTGAGTTTCGGTCAACCCCAACTTTTCCATGTGGAGTGCCTGGTTTCATGAGCTATGTACGTTTAATTTTTTCGATCTATAAGGTAGTGGAAGTATGCCAGAACCTCAAGAGTTTCTCAATGTTAGATCTCATTTCCGTAGAAACCAAAATGATTCTAAAATTGTTCTCCATCTTTTTATCAATAAGGTCATGTATTTCGATGCCGATGTGGGATTTTGATAGTTTTGGCCTCGATCCTAACGATAGTGCAATACTGCCAAATCATGATCACCTTACCCATTCATGGGGGTATGAAAATTATCATGATAATTGTATGGATCCCTTTCAATTTGCTCCAAATTCCTACCACAATGATTTGGAACCTCTTTATCCAGTTGATTTATCTTTTCGAAGTGAAGAGGAACAACCACCCAACAATTACCATAAACCTTGTCACATCCAATCGCTTGGTGAGAGTTCCTTGTTTGCAAGGAAGTCAAATACTTCAGTTATATGTGAGCTGACAGTCTTTTGCCTTTGGTTGATCTGTGGTCAGGTTCACAATGTGAAAACTCATATGATCACAGTGGTAATGCACTACAGAAACATATTGAATATATACAGCATTCAAACAGTTTTTTAACTTCAGTAACAGACAAAGCAGCAATTGGTCAACCAAGCAAACATACCAACAGAGAACTGACCAATCCAAAAGGTTCTCAAACCTTTTCTAGCATGTATAGCAGCTACCCCATAAGTACCCTGGTCCAGGATAGGACCATAAATGAACTTGACACTATGACAACAATTACACAGCAAGGCAGTCAAAATACACAACTTGATAAATCTTCTGGATTTGAGAGCAACAAGACTCCAATAAATAGTAATGGCTTTGAAGAACCTTCCACAGGTGACAAAAGCAAACACACAGGTTGGGAACAAGACATCGTATCTCCAAATAGAAGAAACCCCACTGGTATCTATCAACAATACTGCACAGAAGAAAAGAATGATGAAGTGCTTCTTTGCCAACATCAAAATAATCAATATGGGCCCCTGGAACGAATGCTATATCAGGTACCAGACTCATCATCAAGGTCTATTCTTGATCAAATGGGCCAAGTTGAGGAGAATTTTGAGTATGATACATTGATTCCATTAGTTCTCTACAAGGAGATGAAAAATCACATTATACACAGAACCCCTGATCCAAACCATTACAAAGGGTTTGAAGCAAAGAATCTTTTGTACGCAGCTGCTCACCATGGACATTTAATCATCAACAAGCATATTGATGTGTTTGATGAGATGAATGAATTCTGGGAGACAGGAAGTAGCCTTCTATTGAAGGTGAGGAAGAAATGGTTTCCAAACTTTGATTCAAATATTCAATCTCAATTCATTTGGAAATCAAAGAATATACTTTTTCCAATATTGATTTTCAAAGTGAAACTTACTTGTAATTTGTTTGGAAGACTTCAAAAAACAAAGAAATTGAAAAACAAAGGCTTGGTATATCAATCAGCTTGTAGATACTTTAAAGCTTGGTTTTCAAACTTACTTGATCATTACCAAAATAACTGGAAGAAACTTTTGGAATCAAATTTATCCTTCAATCTTTATTCACATCGGACAGGTCTCAATCCAAAAAACTTGTTAGATGTTACTTCACAATTAGAATTTGGAACGAGAGAAGTATTTCTGGTTAAACTTAGTTGGGAGATATTTGAAGGGTGGCTTCAATTGTTTCATGAAGAGATTCACTCCTGCATTTTCAACACAGATACAAAGCATTTAATGAAGAACTTTAAGCAAATATACGGATATAGTGTCAAGACATCAATGATGCTAGAGGATGGACCCTATGATAAAAGACAATTTAATTATGCCGTAAGTGGAACAATGTGTGTTAGAATCCTGATATCAACAGTTTAAGGAACTTTGTATCCCGCTTTGTATCCACAAAGTACATAGCTCCAGAATCTAGGCTATACAAGAATACTCTAGCAGCAAACTTGAAGGCTGAGAGGAACAAGTCATCTTGAATATGTAAGTTATGTTTTCTACCCTTACTTCTCCACACATCTAAATTCAAGCTCATCTTCTTCCACTTGGTTGACTCCTTGAAGCACAGTCAGAAAAGATTTCTTGGACTTGGATATGCAAGGAGTCATTGGATGCATTCCCAGAAACTAAATCTTTTCATTTATTTGCATAAGAGTACCTGGAGCCAGGTTACAGCTCAGATCTGTGGGCTTATCTCCAAAGGGGTTTCAATGCAAGAGCACACCAGATCTTTCAATGTGAGGCATCTTTGATTGAAATCAAATGTTTCAGAATTTGGCAAATATGAAACAATGTAGAAGTTGATTTAACAAATGACAATTGATATCATGGGGCTGACAGCAAAGTTGGTTGGTGTCTGTGGAGTATCTTTTACATGGTTATCTTCAATATTTCTTCACTCATGTTATTTCCTGATTTCCTCTTCTTCCACCTTGATTATTCTTGAGCAATCAGGATCCATTTACACATGCAGCCCAAAATACAAGAATGATGAGGGCAGACAAATGCTCAAGTGCTTTGTAGATGCAACTGTGATCTTTATGTGTAGAAAACATACATTTTCAATATCCATTTCAGTGTATACCAAAGGCCTTGCACACAATGGCAGATTATAGAAGAGGAGACCAACCACAAATATGCTGCATAGATATTCTATGATGTAAGTAATCCTGCAATGCTGAGCCACCCAAATTGATACATCTTCTAGCCTCTGAACATGGCACTGCTAGAAACATCTTTTTAGCTGTCCATATGAAACAAATTTGGATCTTGCAGGAAGTTTGCAACTGATCAATTTTCCACAAAGTATTAGCACTGAGAACTGATAGCCTATGCATGATAGATATGTTATAAATCTTGTACTATCAAACCACAGAATTTGATTGTGGAAGTATCAATATATCAACAATGGGCCTCATATCTGGTCTAAAGGTATCACACCCATTTACAAGGTGGATTGGACATTCATCTTGTTCTCAAGTATTTGAAATACAGGTGTCCTTGAAAACAAAACTTTAGCCCATCCATCAGCATGTACATATGTTACACAATGGTCTACTAACTGGATTTGTAATTATTAAAACAACTGGCAGATGATCTTGCAGTATGGTGCTTGATATGAGGATTATACAAAATTCTTGACTGTCTTCTTAAACCTTATTAGATGTCACTTTACATTCAGATTTTGGAACAACAAGGGCATTCTAGGTGAGTCTTAGCTGGGAGGTATATGAAACATGTCTTCAAGAGTATGATGAATATTCTTATGCTTGTATCATCAATCTTGATTCACATCAAGCTGTGCAAAACTTTAAGGTACCATATGACCAAATATCAGGATATCAATGATCCATGAGGAAGGCCTCTATAGTAAAAAAGAATTTGAGAACCGTGTAAGCTGAAATTATTTGTAGCTGTTTCAATGTCTACAACCATTGTCATGATGCTTTGAACATTCACAATAAGTACAAGGCTCCAGAATTTAGACTCCATAGAGAAATAATAGGAGCTCACTGGAGGGTTTGTAGAGCTGCTTGTGTAGCTATACAACCTCTTTGTTTATGTACTGTTCTTTAATTGAAAAGCTGAAAAACCAAAGCATGATCAGATTCATACTGATTCAGAAGTGTTGGCTTGGATTTTTCAACAATTATGTAGTCAGCTATGACTTTACCAACTTCATTTGATTTGGTATAAGGCTGAAACAATTTTGTCCAATGTGTTTCTCTTAGTGGTAGGATTTGTTGGTCAAATTTGGGAACTTCCTGCATCATCAAGACTCTTCTATCCTGTGAAAAAAATCCATTGTGTCACATCACAGCACCAATGGAGCTTCCTGAGGACACATGGCACTTGAGATCAAAAAAATTGATAATTGTAACAAGCATTGAAAGCAATCCAAATCTCACCTGATTTTAATCAAGACTGAGGTCAATCACAGTGTGTAATCAATATTGAGGCCAATCAATTCAGTGTGTAATCAAGATTGACAAATCTTAAACTCAAGGAATTCTCTCTTTTGAATAGTGGTCACACTGCAATAATTAAACTCATCACAAGAATGTAGTAGGGGGTACCATGTGAAAAAATGAGGATTCTTTAGCACAATGAAGGGCCAGCGGGTCTGGACTGCTTTTGACCCTAAAGTAACAAAAGGTTCTACCCTCAACTAGAAGAAACTGGGTACAATTACCTCTTGCAGGTTTACTGGTGTGGAGCTCTCAGAAAACTTAACTAAGGCTTTTGTCTGGCCTGATGAAAAAAAAACATCTCCTGTGTGGCACAGCAACAAGGAAATTGGTGATTTGAGGCACATTATATTTGCCATTATGGTCATTAAAACTCTTTTCATCTGCTTTCTGGGTCCTTTTACCACTTTCTGAGCCTCTCAGATCATCTTTCATCCCCACCAAGCCCTTCTTTTTGGCCTTTTGGCTGACCTGAGAGTACATTCAGAGGGACAATAAAGCCCAAGCCTGCTTGGGTGGCCCAACCCCTGGGGCCCGGTCCAAGCCTTAAGCTCAACCTGATGATTGGTCTTGTGGAAATTGTGTCAATGGCCCACCTATGCTAGGATAGCCATAATGTGAGAATTGGTATATTCTTTTGGCTAGCACTATCAGGTGCTATGTCATAGCACCATGTATGCCTGTAGGCTTTATTTTTTGAAGTACACTGTAGAGCAAAAACCTTCTAGAAAGGTCCCACCTTACTTCATGGTGTATTATTTCACAATACCAGATTGTTAACAGCCCAAAAAACCCTCACTGGAATACTTTCTTCGCTTATATTCATAACAGTGGTACTTATGTATAGGCAACTCATAAGTGCTCACACCTTTTATGCATAAATCTCTTATGCATCTTATATATAAAGTGAGTAAATACATCCCAAGTCTGATTTTTTTGGAGAATCATGATTTCCCCGAGACCTGCAAAAACCAGATGATCTTAAAACAATATGAACCGGTAACACTCAAGAGAAGAGGAACAGAGGCAAAGATCAGTGAAGTTTTTCTGGGGCTAGTGCGCCTACCCCGCTGGTGAAAGCCTTTCCGAAAGGCAGTCCGCGAGAAAGATAAGACTTCAAGATTACCTATCTGATTTCTGAGACATCCGAGACTTCCACATCGAAAATAATAATTCAGATCAAGCAATTGTAATCTGTAAAGACCCGATACCTCTTGCAATGCGCTACAACGGCTTTCCGTACCACCGCATCGAGTGTCTCAGCAGAAGGGCAAACAATGATAGCGGAATCGTGCTGTATACCTGTTTGATGTAAGTCTTCTTGCAATATTCATCCGAGCCGAGACATTTTCTGGCTACTGAACAAGGCGCCGTTTCGAGACGTCTCTTGAGCTCCAATCACAAAGTCGTAGAAGCCGTAGATCTCTAACCATCGTAAATACACATTTGCAACGAGTTTGGGTTGGCTACACAGCTTATCAATTGGCTATAGAGGGTTATGTAGAACTGAAGGCTTACACTGACAGCCCACGGTGGTGTAAGTACGGAGGTGTAAGTATGATATCATCAGGCCTGTTGAGAAATGATGTATGCCAACCATGGACTCCATAAATGATCTGTGTATGACATCAGAGTCAACAAAGATTTTCTGGTCTCAAGTCATTCTCCATAATGCGGGAGGTTCGCCTTTGCGGTTCTTGTCCAAGAAGTCGTTTCGGATCCATACCTCGGGCCGCTCAATCTGAGTCCCAGGCCACCTTAATCTTCACCCTTTGTGGTGCCGGTGGTGCTTGTGTGGAGTATATAGTCCATCGAGCCCATTTTCTTTTGCCGAAGCCTTTCATCTCTAATACCGCTCCAGGACTGCCGGAAAATTTCTTGCTTGAAACCTGTCAGATGAATATTACCAAGGAATTCACATTCGGGACCAGCTTCCTCGTCGTCATTTCGGCAGTTTTGAGCATGATCACAACAAACTGCAACATTTACAGATTGTGAATTAGTCCTGGCTCGGGGATTAGACCGAGAAGCTTCCGATTTCAAGAGGCAATGTCAGATAAAAATATAAGGTGCTCATCAAAAACCAAGCTTTCCATCTGCTCCCATTCCAATGATCATAGATCTTGGTTCACTGAAACAAAAATGTTATCAAAAAAATTCTTGATCATCATATCTATAAGACCTTGTATCCTGAGGCCTACTTGGGAAAACCTCGATAATTTTGTCGTTGACACCAACAGTTTTGCAGGAACTAGACCTTATCGTAACCAGATCGCACATTCCTGGCAGTCTGGATATGACGTTCAGCCTTATATACATTCATTCCACTCTATTTCTGATACTTGCAATACTCATTATCAAGATATTTGTTCACCAAACGGTCCTCTTCACGAGATCAAGGAACACTTGTCTTCCTATACCGATGAAGAATTATTTGGTTGTGTTCCATCACTGGGTAAGATTCCTCATTCATCCAGACGTTTTTTCAGGTCGTAGCATTTCGATACTTTGTGATCTGAGAAGTTTTTGATCTGACTTTTTTTTGGATCAGATTTTGGGGGCGGATATGCATACGATAACAGTGATGATGTACTACAGAAATATCTTGAAGATCTCACAACTTCAAGCACTTCATCAAGTTTGGCGACAGAAAAAGAGCTGCCGTATAGAGCAGGAACTCCAACCAGTCCTGTGACGGATGGCTGTCACAGCAACACTTGGCCCTCTGGTGAGGTCATGTATGAACTTGCCAATGTACCAACCAATTCGCTCAGAGAAGATCTAGAGCCACAAATCTGGTCATCTACCACATCTATAAGCAATGGAGAGAGCATAAATGACGGTGTAGGCATTGGCTCACCTCTCATTGGTAAAAAAAGGAAATATGAAAGCTGGGAAAAGAACACAAAATCCCGCAGGAAAAAAAGAAAACCTAGAGTTGATCAAGAATATTACACAAGAGGACAAGCTGATGAGTCACCTATCTCTCAACAACAAAACAATCAATGGGATCCCCCTCATCCAGCTCCAAGTCTTTATCAGAAGGGACAGGTTAATGAGGAGCACCTTGACAGTGCATCGGTTCCCTACATTCTGAGAATGGAAGCAAAAGATCACATCATACATCAACTTCCTGATCCAAAGAACTACAAGTCATTACCAGCTGTGACTGTGATCTATGCAGCTGCTCACCATGGAAACTTGATTATCAAAAACCGTCCTGAAGATTTTGATAAAATGAATGAATTATGGAGCAAAGGAAACTCGTTTATATTGAAGCGAAGAAAGAAATGGTTCCCAAACTTTGATTTTCATATTGAATCTCCACTGATATGGAAAGTAAGAAATTTGATATTTCCTATGACAATCCATAAGGTGGATTGGACTTTTGATGTTTATGAAAGATTACACAACAAAGGTAAACTTCAAAACAAAAGTTTATTCTATCAATCAGCATGTACATATTTTGCAAAATGGTTTATAAACTTAATGGATAATTATCCCAATGCCTGGAGCACCATTATAAAATCTGATATTCATTATGAAAATCAAACAAAAGCATTAGGATTTTCTCCTCAAAGTTTATTAGACACTACTTTACATTTAGAGTTTGGTGCAACGAGAACATTCTGGGTTAATCTCGGTTGGGAGATATATGAAAGATGGCTTCAAGAATATGATCAAGAGTTTTACTCTTGCCTCATCAGTTCAGATACACATCAAATCACTCACACCCTTAAGATACCATATGGCTATGACATTAAGAAATCAATGATCCTAGAGAAAGGTCCCTATAGTAAAGAAGAATTTGAATATTATGTAAGTGGAAATTTGTTTGTATCTACTTCACTGTCCGATGTAGCTGATTTTAATAATGCGTTCAACAACTTTGATTAGTACAACGCTCCAGACTTTAAACTATATATAAAAAACCTAGTACCCCACTTGAGGTATAGTAGAGCTACTGACGTGTTGACAATTAAATGAATCCAGTTTCTTTGAAGTGAAAGCTGCAAATATTTCAGTCCATCTAACTAACTAATTAAGAAGTCAGGGATGCTTTGGATGCTTTTTGAAGGGTGTTCATAGCAAATCTTGACTCAGTTCCTTCATGATTTATCTATCTCATTCTTTTTGCGCCTTGATCTTCCATATTTTTTAATTTTTATTGAATAGTCAAGTATTATCTTTACAACAGTAGGATTTCGGTAACGTAGGAGCCATATATATTCTTTAAGGTGACAACTTTCCAAGTATCTAGATACTTCCCACCGGTAATACTTCCTTTCAAGTTTCTTTTAATACCACTTTTCCTATTTGGTAAAACTCATCAGGGTGACCAAATACACAAAGCACCTGACCAGGACTTGACATATTTATCTTCAATTACCCTTCAGATATCTCCATCAACTACACATACACGCGACCTGAGCAAAGACCAGTTTTCCAAGGTCGATGTTAACAGTTGAACTACAAGTTCATCTCTCAAACAAACTCAACCTACCCGCTAAATCCGAGCGACTCACCCAAACCCAAACTCACATCACATTAATCAAATCGTTCACAAACCTCAAGACTCAGAATGAGAAACAAGAGGGATAAAAAAATAGTCTGAATTTCTTTCTGATACTTAAATTTTTCATTGAATCAAAAAAACCAAACATACTACGTGATTTACTACTAGCTTACTACTACTGTATAATAAAAAAAGGAATTAAAAAAAGAAACCATGAAGAAAAAGTTGATAAAAACACCCCGCCCCCACAAAAAAGCTTTCATGTATGTATTTGAGAAAAAATGAGGATGAATTAAACTAAACCTCATACTCTATAAACCTGAGATTATCGTCAAAACAAAACCAAATGACCAAATTGAAATGAGTACAAATGTATCGACTCTATATCTCTGTTCAGAAACTATGCTTACCATTCGACTTTTGTTCCATCCTTCAATGAGGACGAACCACCACTCGGTTTGAGATAGAAGGACCTCCCATATCAATAAAGATATCAGATTGTTCTGCACGGTATAATCCTTGTTTAAGTCTCTTTTGATCAATATGATGTCCAATGAATCCAATACTGCGTCCCAAGACAAAGAGAGCATTCAAAGTACCAATCTAAAAAACCAAAACCAAAAGTCAGCTGAATTGAAGTGATGAGAAGTAAACGATATATAACTTACCTGCATATATTCATCTGCTTCTTCACGAGTAAAGGCTCCAGAGTTCCTCAAAAGATCGCAGAAGCAAACTGCAATACAACCATCGACATTCAAAATCAAAGTATCCTTCTTTGAACTAGTGACATCTTCAACGGCTAAAGCGTAATCTAACATTTCGTTAGATGGGAAATGCTTTCGAGCAAAGTCTTTGACTAATTCTACTCTCATATCTGGATTTGATTTAGATTTGATCTTGTGTCCGATACCAGGAATCAATCGATTTGCCCTTCGCATCGTGTCAACAAATTCCCTAGGCGTCAAGCCTGTGTCCTTTGCTCGTGAAAATTCTCGTGCGGCTCCGTCCAAGGCTCCTCCAAATCGGTCACCGATGGTTAAGAGACCAGCAACCAATGAACTGATCAAGTCCTTTCCAGCTCGAGTGGTGATGACAGTGGTCATTGCTCCCGAAACGGCCGGACCGTGATCAGCTGTTAACTGAAGGCACATTTCCAAGAATTTGCACGCAAATGGTGGAAGACGTCGTTTGAACCTAAATCAAGACATGAAGAATGAGTTTCACGCTGGAATCCGAAAAAGAGAGGAAGAGAACGAGGGTGAAACTGACCAAAGTAAGGAGATGACACCACCGACTCCAATGTCTTCCTTGAACACATCAGTGATTGACATACCAGCATACAACAACTCGGCTCCTCGTTCGTCAGAGATCGTCGAGATGAAAGCGGCAGGTTTTCGAACCATTCCGAGTTCTTGTGCCCATTTGTAATCAACAGGGATGTTAGGAGGATCACGTTCGGGCATAGGTTGAATAGTTCCGTCCTTGACTAATCCGGCATATACTTTGGCAAGTGCAGCTGGTAGATCTTCAAAGGTGTCCGGAACCACAAATCCTGCAGCCCTCATGGCTCGGTTCTTGGCGTCAGCTGTTTCCAAATCCGAGTTGGCCATTGATCCTGCGTGTCCGAATTGCACTTCGGTGGTAAACATCTTGGCACAAGTTCCGATGGCCCAAGCGATGATGGGTTTCTTGATCGTACCAGCTTTGACAGCCTCAATGACACGGTATTCTTCGACTCCTCCTACTTCTCCCAAGAGGACAAGCATCTTACAGTTGGGATCAGCTTCGTATCGGAGCATGTGGTCGATGAAAGTTGTTCCAGGGTATCGATCACCACCAATGGCAATACCTTCGTAAGTACCGTTGGTAGTGAGAGAAAGGATATTGTTAAGTTCATTAGACATTCCCCCAGATTTAGAAACATAGGCTACTGATCCAGGTCGGTAAAGTTTGGAAGCAATAATGTTGTCCATCATACCACCAGTGTTACCGATTCGGAAACATCCAGGTTTGATTCCACCGACGGTAGCAGGACCGATGATGATGACTTTCTTCTTCTGAGCGAGATGTAAGATGGCTCGAGCGTGTCTTTCGGGTACTCCTTCAGCGATCAAAGCAATAGACTTCAATTGAGGCAACTCTAAAGCTTCGAGGGTAGATTGATAAACGGATCGCGAAGAAGAAAAGTTGACAAGGGTGTCGGCATCGGGATGTTTCTTGACAGCCTCGGCGATGGTGGCATAGACCGGCAAGAGAGTTTCCTTGGTACCCCAGTAGAACTTTTGGACATGATGACCACCGAAAGGATAGATCATAGCTGCCACTGATGGTTTGGTTCGACCACAAGCGAAATCGAAGTCGAGCATGCCTTGGATAGCTCGTGGTTGAAGACCATAAACTAATCCTCGAGTGTTTTCGTCAAAAGGGCGGAACCAGGGTCGATTAGACGGTGCACTTTGTTCAAACGAGATTACACCGTGTTCCTCTCGGCTGCTAGGAACGATTGTGGCCATCTCCACTGGAGAGCCGTTAGAGGTGTGTGATTTTCCGTTGACGTGGTGGCCATTGGTGACAGTTAATCCGTTGGTATGGCCATTGGCAGCAGGCTTGTTGATTCCAAGGGCGAGGGGGACGATAGAAGAGATGTGGGTATCGGGCTGTACAGATTACAAATCAGGATGCGGCCACGACGGAGACGAAGGAACCAAGTCAAAATCGGCAACATTGTGAGCATGCAGGAATATCAGAGACTTACACCAAAGACTTGAATCTCAATTCCAAGAGTTTCACCAATCAACCTCATCTTCTTCAATCCATCTTGGTAGTTGGGACCACCACGTCTGACAAAGATTCGGACTTTGTGACGATGAAGTCCTTCCTTGAAGTTCTTCAAAGCATCGATGATACCAGCAAACGTGGCTGCTACGTTGGTGAAATTGGCGATACCACCTCCAATGATCAAGACTTTTCCTTCGGGGTGTGGTTCTCCTCGGGTCATCAAGTCTAAGATCGTCTTGGCATATTCAAAAGTTTGGTTCTTAGTCGGTGCTCCTGAATATTCACCGTAGTTTGCTAGTTCATGTGCAAAGCCATGAGCAGCAATGGCATCGCTAGATGATGGGCAAATTTACATCCGTCAGTATTTGAGAAATGACGTTCATGAGTTTGTTGTGTGAGAGAAAACCTACGAGTATACAACCGAAGCACCACCACCAGCCACCATAGTCCAAACACGACCTTCAGCATTCAAGACAGTCAATTTCAAGGAAGCACCAGTACTAGCATCGAGTTTTTGAATGTAGGCTTCTTCTTTGGTCAAATCCCGACCGAATGGAGCAGGAAAGACCATTGGAGGACCACGATCGGCAAAAACCTTGGCACCACCAGCATCCGTGACAGGACCAGAAGTGTCACGAGCGATAGCCCACTTGGCACCACAGAGATAATCAGCGGTTTGATCTAATTTCGCAGCCATATCGAGGAAAGCAATGGATGGGGATCCATCAGCAGCCTCCATACAGACAAGTGGGTTGATCTCTAGGTAAGTGTAATGAAGATCGACATAGGCGCTGTAAAGTCTAGCCAAGAAGTCGACCAAAGCGTCTTGACGATGAGGAGGTACAGCGGCGAGTAAACCGGATTTCAATTCATCACGGGTGGGTAAGTCACCATCAACTGGGACGGTGATTTTGGCGGCTTTGGCGTCTACATCTCCGATATCAACTCCACCTTCATGAGTGAAAAGGATCATATCGCCCTCTCGGACAGAGTTGATGCAGACATAGTATTCGCTAGGAAAACAAACAAGAGCGATCGCATTCGATCGTGAGTGTTCCGATCATCCATGGCAATCCAAAAGAAGATTGGTTACTTACGTATCGGAAGGATGAGGAGCAAAAGGCTCAACAATAAAGTTGGACAAAGTACCAACCACTCCTTCGACATTCACAGGTTTACCAGCCTTTTCAATGATCCAGGCCTTTGCTTCGTTCCATGTCTTATTTAAACCTAGTAATCCAGCTTTTCCACGACGTTTGATCAACTGATCAGGTTTAACTACCAATTTCTCGGTGAACACCCATGCTGGTAAGTTAGCATCAGGTGTGATAGTGTTGGTAGCGGAATCCCAGCTGATCTGAAAAAGACAAACCAACCCAAAAGTTAGTAAAACTTGTGCATAATTGAACAAAGAGAAAACAAATGCTTACTTGAGCTACTTTAACTTCAGGTGATTTGAAAGATTTGGGAACTGGACAGGCTGCACCGAATTGAGGAGCACGAGCTAACCAATAACCTACCAAAAGTTTGGCATCATATTCTCTGATAGCTATGAATTGAAACAAAAGACCAATCGATCAGATGTGAATCAAAATTCAAAAAGAAAAAGAGAAAGACTTACCTTTAGCAGACATTGTGACTGAACGTTTGTTTTTGCGACGTTATAGATTAAGAGGTAGAGAAAAAGAAGCCAAGGACAAAGAAGTGTCTATATGATACTGATTTTAAGATGATCGAGAGTGGGTAATGATGATGATCGATGAGGTGGTATGAGAATGATAAGCAGGAAAATATTTATGATTCTTTTAATGCGATATTGAGACTGGTAATAATCAAAAACCGTTTAACGATTCAGGATGATGATGAGATGCGGATTGGTCGGTTGATAATTTTTTTTCTGATTTAATATCAATTGGATTAAGTCAACAGGAGAAATAGGGGGAACTTAAGTATGGTCAACTCAAGGTTTATGCTAACGATTTAGATAATAAGAATGATCACAATAGGGTTAGGATAATTGAGATTGGGAATTAAGAACTCTCAATCAAAAGGAGGAAGAGCTCAAAAGGTAAAGTCAAAGGGAAGTGGCCTTCGATTGGATTTCTAGAATTTTAAATACCAAAAAACGATTGGGGTAAAATTCTGCACATATATCTTCCTGTGGGGCAATAACAGGCAATACCTGTTACACATTTCGGTCGGTCGGATGATGACGTTTAGATGTCGTGTACCAATACCTTTCCCCAACCAAGATTCATCATCAGTCATATCTTGTTCTTGACTTGACTTGACGCATTCAAGAACTTGAGTGGGGTCGAGATAACGATACTCTTTCTGCACTTATCAGACTGGAATTGGTGGTACACCAGGCTGGGGCTCTAGGATACTCAAAGCAGACTTTTGATCGTTGTCTGATACAATGTGATCACCTCGATCATTCTTCACAGAATCAATCTAAAAGACCCACAATCTTGATTTCTCACTTCAATTTTATCCTCCAAACTGCATCTTGAAGCGTGGACATGTTAATCAGATCACCATTCTTTCCTGATGTAATTCCCTCGTCATGCATCAGTGTATGTACTCGCACATTTCCGATCAGATTCTTACTCCTTATAATTTTCTTTTTTTGGTTCATTTTCATACCCCTTTCTCCATCTCCTATATGCGCCTCTGATCATATCTCGATCATCAATGGAAAATTCATCTTCTTTGAGAATATACAGAGCCTTTCTTGGTCTCAACTCTTCTCGTTTCAAACTGTTTGAAGTCCGTCTTTAGGAGATCTACATACATGCACAGATGTATAAATTTCGTTATATTCATCACTTCCACTCCCTACTGAGCTACTCGACCGGCTATCAGGCAAACTGCAGCATAGACAGACGTAGATCTTTCCAGTCTGTTTGTCATTTCATCGCCAACCAAAAATTTCTGAAAGATCCATGACATATTCGAAACCTCGGAGAAGGCCGGCCCGAAGGATCGACCTGAGTGGTACAATCATCTCTCGACGGAAACCCTCGGGCAGCTTCTGTCGGAGGCATTGCACCCGAGAATCACTCGGGTGTTCAAGGGTGGTCTTTGCTGGTTGTGAGCTCAGCCTTTATTCATTTCACTTGCCTATCTTCAATCGTCTCCCCATCAACAGGCTTAAGGTGATCAGGGGTATCACACATGAATTGTTTCACTATTTTTATGGGCACAAGTGACCAATTTCATCTTGGGTATCTTTCAATCAACAACCAAAAGAGTAATGACTGTGGCAATAACTGCGGTGTTACGTTGAATCTGTGATGTATTGATTAGGGTACGTTTGGTTGCAATTACCAATTGTAAACTCCGTTTGACCCCAGGTACATTGCCCCGGGGCAAATGAGTTTATTGTTCAAATCGAGTTTTTTTTCAAATAAACTCCGTTATGGGTACATTTGAGAAAATCATGTTTGGTTGAAAATCCCAACTTATAGCAAACTGTCTTTGAAGGTTTCTCGCCTCACCTCACCTCACTTCACATTCTACCACTTCGCATCCACCCATATAGATATCCTCTGGTGATGTATGATACAAGTAATCATCATATGACACAACCTTTGTCCCCATACAACAAGCTTTTGCCCGAACACGCTCGCGATAACAGAAAGGTGTCCCACCAAATTCAACACTCTCCATCACTTCCTATCTATCTCATCCTTCAAGAGTGATGTGTTTTGAGATTCTTTGGAGTTCAACAATTGATTGAGATCAACTGATTGAATGAAATTGAATGATTGATTGGTTTTGAACAATTGATTGAAATTGACCGATTGATTGAGATTACACAATTGACTGGAAATTGAACGATTGATAACTCGTTCCTTCAATCAAAATTGGTTTTCAAGACTTCATTTGCACATCACAAAAGACAATAACTTTTTACACAGAAAAATCAATTCAATTCTAGATTCATATTTGAGAAACACAAGATAGATTTCAGAAGATGATTGGTAAGCAGAAGGAAAGGCAGCCAGGAGCAAGAAGTAGAAGTGAAGATTAGCTTGTGAGTCTTGAGTATGATGGTGTATTGTTGAAGGTGTTGACTGAGTCAAAGAACAAGCATCTTATGAAGCGAATACATATTGGATCGATTGACGAGGGTTGAAGCTGGTTGAAGGCTTTCGAGATGAAATTTTGTCAAGTACAAAAGGGAGTTTATTGCACTGATAAACTCCCTTTTGGCGTTTATCCAAAGTCCCGTTTTAAACTCCTTTTGGGACGGGGAAGGAGTTTATTTCTGGGTACCATAAGTGGTCCCAAACGTCTTTTTTTGACAGCGATTATTTTTCAAAATAATCGCTATTATTCAAAATAATCGCCGAAAATAATCGCTACCAAACGTACCCTTATTTGAGGTGAGAATAATCACCTATCTGCAGTGAAAAATCTTGGTACCATGCTACTTTATCATATCATCTCAATTTTGATTCTGATCAAGCTGAGGAAAGACTTTATGATGCATCATATGCCTTGATAACATTACCAGACAAGCCCAGATAGGTTTTGACAAACCATACCAGGTAATCAACTCACTTATGAAATCATACTATGTTTTAAGATCACACAGCCTCTATGTTTACATCACCCACATCTGTCTTGAAAAAGATCAATGGCTTTTCTCTTCATAAAGAACCACACGAAGCAGAACCTGGCAAAAATCCAGCAAAAACCCTTGTGTTTTTCAATATAAGAGGCTGAAAACAAAAGAGTATGTACATAGTTCTGCAGGCATCATCAAGTCCAATGGTTATGTAGACGTCACAGCTGGCGGTTTCAGAGATACATAGCTGTATTGCAGCAAAACCTCTTTGTGTAGTTGTGTCCATAACATGTACATCAGAAAATTGAAGGTAACAAGGAAAATGCAAAGACATGGCTGTGTTCAGGTGTCATAGGGTGTCTTGATACAAAAAGGTTTTGGATGTTGTGAAGAATCAGAACTGAGTTTGTGTTTGGAACAACTGCGCCTTGTGCTGCGCATTCCAAAACTGCGCAATACACAGCCTTACACCAAAGGACCAACAATCTTGCTGCAATGTGGGAAAACACTTACCTAACATGTCAGGAGTTGGAAGTTTGAAACTGGTGTATACCACAGCAAAATTTGGGCGAGAATTTTTCATCTGGTTGAATAATTTGTTGTCCATGAGTCACATGGCGGGTGCAGAATTTAAATTGGGGCAGACCTGGGCACAATTTCTAGGCTTTCCAAAGGTATGCCTGTGGTGGGGGCGCTGAGGTATGCCTTTGGGTTGTTGAAAATCAGAAAGAAATAAAAAAGCGAAACAAAATGGTGCAAAGACATCAAAAGGAGCATGTTTTTGAATTCCTCATGCTGCATGAAGTGATCTAAGCGGGGATCACATCAACATTCATTGAGAAATATCTTCAAAAAGCACCTCATCCAAATATTCATCTTCATCAAAGAATCCAACAGAAAGAGTTCTTGGTGTGGAAAGATCTAACAAAAGAGAAACAATATGAATCCCACAATAAAGAGTTGACAAGACTTGGTAAGATCAAAAATAAGGAGGCAAACCTACCAAGGTAGAACTTCATAATAAAAGCTGAGACATTTGAGAGAGAGAGAAAAGGGAGAATTTTGAACACATAAAAAATGATAGTATAGGGGCTTATCAGACTTGTTGAACAATATAACACAATTAGATAGATAGAAATACTATTACCTTGGGATTCTTTTCTGCAGATGTTGAGAAAAAGAAATGTAAAGGAGACAAAATCACACATACATATAAGAGAAAATTGAAATAGAAGACATTGAGAAAACCATCATGTGTCCAACCCCTTGCATCACAAATCAAGAGCACATCTTTCTAACTCTCAGATTGGACCACATTCACCTGTTTCATGCATTTAATTGACTAAAATGTTGTGAACCTTGACCAACACTCACAGAGATGATTAAAAAACCACCTAACCTCAACAAATTAACAATGAATGTCTTGACCAATATAATCATATTCCAATATCTCAGACCCCTCATCTCAAACAATAGTATTGGTTTTTTTGGATTCAACTCAAGCATTGAATAGTGATACATTGAAAATTGTACCTACATACATACCCAATGGCTCTCCATCAAGCTTAGCCTTACAGTGCTGGCAATGAGTGTAGCGTCAGTCTGTTGATGTTTTTGCATCTGCATAAATGAAAAAACCCATCCACTCCTCAACAAATCCAGTGGTGGGTTGGATCTATTCAGTTGACAGGGAATATTTGACTTTGGGCATGGTGTGTAAGTGGTGTATGTTGTTGATGGTTTGGTGGGGATGTGTCAAGGACTTTGTGGTGGGAAACTGGGTATCAAAGGTAAAAATTCCCTCGGACCCTACTCAACAGCTGGGAGAATGGTGGCCCAAAGCTAACCTGGGCATGCCTACCCCAAAATTGAACCCAGAGGGACTGCCCCAAAGATCTGTCCCTTGGACAAGCACAGGCACACTGCCTTTGAGACAAAAAGGGAACTTGTGTGCACCCCTCATCAAGCAAATACAGCACCGACATGTTTTTTAAGATGGTCGACTCAATTTATGAAAGACATCAACACTTCATAAAGATTGACACCACCTTCACTTTTAGCTGACAATCAAGGTACAATTGTGTTATCAAGAAATGCTCAATTCCAAAACTGGCACAGGACATGTTGATATTAGATTTCATTGGATTTGTGAACATATTTGAAGTGAAAATTTTACTTTCAGATACATCCCTACCACTGATATGCTATCAGAAACATTTACCAAATCTCGCCACCTTATAAGCACAAGGTGTTCTACAAGAGTATCATCTTTTAGACTTAGAGAACCAGGGAAGGGATTGAGATCATGGCATATATGATGTATGACTACTGTTTGGGTTATCTAACATCTCATTCATATATTTTTGTCATCTATTACTAATCTTAATCAATCACAGATGTTGGCATATCTTGGTAATATATCTTCTTATGGTCAGATTGTTGTGAATGCTTGGTGTATACATCAAAGATAAAGGACTCTTACCCTTTTTGACCTTTCTCTTTTTTCTCAACATTTCCTATCTGTCACTTCATGCAGGTTTTTTCGACTCCTTGCATTCATAGTGATGCTCAACACAGCTATACTACCTGGAATTCCCTTCAGGTTACCATTATTATTTATATTTGCTCTTGTTTTGAGAATTTTAAACTCGCCATTTTCTACCTATCACTTTGAGCAGATTGGTTATGTTCCTTACACTCATATTGATTCTTATCACTCTAGTCATACTAACTAGACTACCATTCAGGCCTGTTCTGCTCATGAACCTCACATTCATAGTGATTCTCATCACTCAAATTATACTGACTAGACTTCCCTTCAGTCTCGTCATAACCACATTTGTTTTTTACTACTGTATATCTTTATGTTCTGATACCACACGTTTGAAAAAGGGAAGGGATAACTTTATATGGCACACAGAGGAATGAAGGTCCACATAGAAATCAAGGATCATGAGAACAACTGTACAGAGAAAGATATCATGGACAGGTAAGAACCACATTCAAGTGCACACGCGTTGACGAGTTATCTGGCTCTTGAAGCATCAAACCATGTATCTTGTTTTATGTTCCTTGGACCTTACATTGTTCCGAAGGACATTCTAAATACCATGTTAACATCGTCAGTTTTTGATACATGCAACGTAGCAATCAGTCATAAGTTTCATTACAGTGAGTTGAAGGTAAACTTACGCTGGTTTAAATGCCGGCTTACACAACGGTAGGTCTCCCGTACGTGCTGTGCGTTGTAATGGAAGCAAACTTTTGATCACAAAATCCAGAAAGTAGAGCCCAATGTTTTCAAAATATCAGTATGCATCTCAAAACGTCTAGAACGGAAGTAGACAGTCCAGGTAGTTTTTCCTGAGGTATGAGATGCAAATTGACTCAACAAATAGGTCGCTTTGGCGAGGTTGTTGGATTTTCGTCCATCGCGGCATCGCAAGTGAATGCCCCTTTTGAGCTCAATGGATGGGGGCCAACACAGTCCTTAGCAGCTGTAAGATGATTCAAGAAACGAAGAAGTAAGCGGTCTGCCATCCATCTGGCCATAGATTCAATATAAGGAATTTCTTTCGCACAGGCTGGTTTCCCATCTCCCCTGTAACACGCAGTACAAATATAAGTGGTTTTGACTCCATCGCCATTAACTGTAATGCACTCTTTGATCGTGAAAGTTTTCAAACGGAAGATGTTTGAAGTTTCGCGTGAGTTAGCAATATCCACAAAAATGATAGAAATGAATTTTATTGGTGACGGAGAAGTTAAAAACTACAGGCTGAAAGGAAATGTTGAACTAACTATTTTTATTGCCATTGTAACTTGCTGGTCCTTCCCAATAAACATTGCATTCTATAGAATTAGCATCTGCAAAGATGTGCGACCCGAAATCTCCTGCGATCAGCAACACAAGGGCGAGAAAAAAGATGGGGTTTGTTCGCTTGTAGGCCATTTTTAACTGAAGTTGAACAAGATCAGATATTTGAATTTTGAAGTTTTTTGGTCAGATTGACAGCGGCAAAATAAAAAGTATTTATGAAGAGGACAGCGGTGAACCACAAAGTATCTATGACGAGGACAGCGGAGAAACAAAAAGTATTTATGAAGAGGACACAGTCGAGAGAGAGAGAGGAAGTGGAAGATAAAATTACTGTGATTTACCAGACCCATGCGAGACCCTTATGTACGTGGTTGCGTGAGTGGAATGGGAACCCGAGCAGGCTAAGCCCACCCTGGATGTAGTGAAAGCACCACACTACAAGGACTTCTAACGATGAGCAGAAAAGAGATCTAGTGATTGATGGCGTCGATTACACTGTGTGGGATGGGTGCCAGGAACGCCAGTCCAAGAAGATCACGTCGGCGTAACATAACTACAACCCGATCTCTATGATATCTACGGTGGCTCAGAAGTGCCAATTGCGCCATAACGACAAAATAGTCTGAAATAGTTGTCGGAGTCTGTTGGCCTCTTTCCCGGTAGTGGTTCAAGGATTTCAGGCCATCGAGCCTTGTGCTGGTTTGGTGGTGTTTTCTTTTTCTTTGGTGAGTTGGTGTTGAGTGTCGATGATGGCTGTGCGGAGTGAGCCGTCATATTCTTTGATGCCCTCTCTCGTGGGGAGAGGTTGTTGGGAAGGAGGTCCTTAGCTCCTGCGCTAGCAGGATCCGGTCGACTTTATTTCAGTCGTCCTTCTTGCAAAGATGGATGACAATTGCTGCAAGGTCAGAGTGATCATTGAGTGTCCTCGTCAATCAGGCAGGCATTTTAAATCCTCGTTGACGGTGCAGGCTGGTTATGGTGCAGGGGCCAGAAATATTGAATGAGAATGGTCATGTGATCTTACCTGTCACAACACATGATCCATACATACATCTTGTAGGTCCTGGCGAACAGAGCTCAACCATGCTCGAGACTCGCTCCATAGAATCTGATCAACACACCACATCGTCGTCATACTTAATCAGCTCAACCAGCTTCAACCAACGCCAACCTTCAATCTCATCAAACCTCTCGCGGACAAATCATCATCTTGCCGACTTTTCGAATCAAATGGGAGGATTTCTTATTTTCGGTATCTTGATCATCGCAGCCCTTTTAGCTGGATTAGGTTGGTCAGCAGCACCAAAGGGTGATAATCAAGTGTACGTCATCATTTTTTTCAATCTGGTCGTTTTTTGACTTCTCATAACTCACGCATAAAACAACCATACCCTATCTTCCTTTCTTTAGTGTTGTTCGTAGTTCGATACTAGCTTCGATAATCTGTTGTTATCTAATGTGGGCAATCGTTTATCTTGCACAACTAAACCCACTGATACGTGAGTCCTATTCGAAAAAGAATTTCTCTCTATATATATACTCTCAAAGGTTTTGTACTGATTTTCTTCTTGAGGGTTTATTTCTTATAGAACCAAAACGAAGTGATCTTCGTCAAGAACATACATATCAATCTCTTTAAGAATCTCTTCTTCATAGACCGTTTCTCTTTTTGTTCGTCGCAAGTCAATTCATCTTCCTCTTGGTTTTTATCGATGGCCTTCATCTTCACCGACCGCACGTCCAAAACTTCTATCACCGCTCGAAAAACTCATTGATTCGAGCACATCAAAGGTTTATAACCTTTTGGGACCTATTTGAACAGAAGGTCTTGAACTCATGTACTCTCGATTGTATAAGTAAAGGACTTTTATTTGTTTAATTGCATGTTTCCTGAACACGGGACTTCTTTTCGGGAACTTGTGGTTCTATGATCTCATTTAACATTGATCTGAATCCGAGAATGCCAAAAGACGGCCAGTCATTTGTTTGCCTCTTAATTGGGTTATCTCAAGGCTTGAACTGATTTTGAAACATCATGAAAAACGACTTTTGAATTATTTCTCTATCCTCAAGCACCAGTCAGACTTACTCGTAATTAGATATGATTGACTTCCCATCAGATCTCCAATTCAACACAAACTTTAATTCTTGATCCTCAAATGTTGATTTCATGCAATTCTTTTAAAACTTTTAAGCCTACATTTCTGTGTCAGATCAGTATGGATCATCTTGAATGCCAACTTGAGTGGTGATGCAGATACCACTAACAGTGGATTCATTTTAGCATCAAGGCCAACAAGAAGTTCTTGATCAGATGATCTTTCCAAACCTGGTGAACATCAAGGCTGCCACTATACTATACCAGTATATTGTACTGTTGGTATAATATATTTCAACTATACTATACAAAGAATTATAAGGAATTACTTGGAAATAAGCCAAAGATGACACCAAAGATCTAGAATCCAACATGAGTAACATCAAGACCATGATGAGCTTACTGGCTCTCATTTCATATCTTCTGGGAACAACTCAATTTCTTTCTCATCTTCTTTTCCACAGATCATAGTCTCTCTTTGCCAATGTATGGTTAGAGTCTATCAATGTGGATATCTGTGTGACAGAATTCTAATTGGTTGTAACAGAGTTAGATATGAGGCCCTTGATGTGCCTATCTCAACAACCCTGTTGGAACCTCCAAAAGTTATTTTTTTCAAAAATGTGTCTTTTTGGGTCTTGAAGCCCAAACATATATTCACTTCCTGGACTTTGATGAGAGACCATACTCCACAAGGACACTCAGATACATTCAGGATGTCCTCTTTGTTTGCACAGGGCATCCTGACACGGTCTCCTGCAAGCCATCCACCCCCTCAGAGACTGTCATGGAGTGTTCCAAGATGTGCTTGTGTACCCATTCTTTGCACAGCTTTATACCAACCCCCCTTGAATGGATTCCAATATGTACTCACCTCAGGCCCACTTGGAACATCCCATCAAATCATTGTAGATTTCTGAAACCCTGAAATTGATCAAGACTTTGATCAGATCCAAGTAATCTGTTTACTAGTATATGGATTTGCTAGACCACATCTCCTGATCACTCATCCTTATAACATAAACTGGTGAAAGGAATATTTTTGGTTTATACATCATTTCTAAATCCATCATGAACTTTCCAACCTGATTTCCATCATATCAAACTGGATCACCAGGAGTGCCACTCCTGCTTGCTAGTTTATACCATCATGAATTGTTATTGCTACCAGACAAGTTCCACTGTGAACCAAAACATAGAACTAAGCCTCTGACCCTCTACCTTCAAGACTTGTAATCCAACTGAACATTTCAAAACCCTCAAAGCTCACCACTGGCACAGAACCAATCTCTCAAAAGATCCAAGCCAATAAACTATTCAATGAAAATCACTCATTTCATCTCATCTCATCAATCAATGATCTCTTTTTCAAATCACAAAGAAACCTCATCCTTTAAGTTCTAATCTAATATATCATCTTAATATACGATTTTTCATGGTTTCCAAAAACAACTCAATCAAACCAATAAACCAACTGATCTATTTTATATTGGAAAAGTCTTGGAAACTGAGTTTAGGGCACCTTCACTCTTAAGCAATTTCTGATGAGAAATCACATTCTGCAAAATTTAAAGTGTCTACATATTTGCTGGAGCAAGTTTCATTTGTACATTAAAAAATTCACAGAACGCAATTTCTCACCTGAATTTCCGTAAGTGAACAAGCCCTAAGAGTGAAAGTTCAAACCCAACCCCAAACTTTTCTCCCAAACCTACACTCTCAATCTCTTTTAATCTCACAACCTATACATATCCATTCTATGAATCTTTCCATTTGAGATCATCTTCAACAAACCCCCATACTCTTACCTCAACTTTATGAATCCTCACAAACCAAATCCAAAAAAACCAATAACTTGAGAAATTTCAAACCAAAAAGATTACACATCACAAACTTTAAAAAAAAAGAAATCCAAAACCAAATCAAAAAGTCAAAATCACACACTCACACTCACACAAACCATAAATTTTCAAATCAAAAAGAAAAGAAAAAGCTGAACACTTTAGAAATTTCAAATAAAAAATATTCATAATTCTTCAAAACTTTCAAAACCAAAAACAAAATAAACAAAGAAACTTGAAAAAAATGTATCATTGTTCAATAGAAACCGAAACCTCAAAAAAAAAGAAATCATCAAAAAAAAAGAAATCATCAAAAAAAAGGAATCAATTTTTTTAATAAAAAAAAATATAAAGAACATCACACTTTGTAGTAAAGAAAAAAAAAATTAAAAAGCAACAAGTTTTAAAAAAAACCAAATCACAATCTTTCTTAATCATTCATTCATTCAAAAAAAGTGCTTTTAAAAAAGAAAACCAAAAATAAGAATTTTCAAACAAAAAAAATAACAAAGACGAGCAAACGAAAAAAAAAGAAATCATGAAAAAAACCATGTAAGAAAAAACAAACGGTATCCAAAAAGAAAAAAAAAACACAAAAAAACACAACAGGAAAAGCTCAATAAAATCTTAGAAAAAAAAAGAAGAAAATCTAATCAAATAAACCTCATTGATCATTTATCGAACAGGTAAAACTGTTCCAAAAGCATAATCCCAAATCTTAGAAGTCACACCGAATCCAAGATCAGCATCTTTAAAATGATGACTAAACCGATCCACAAGAAAAAAGAAAACCACCCAAACAAAATCAAGTCAGTTTCATCTACAAGACAAGAATCAAGAACCCCAAAGAAACCAAAACCAAATCCAAATTCAAACCACTTACGCCATATGATAGATTTTCATTTCTTTAATATAATTGGGTAACTGAGTATGATGTAAAGCATAATGAGTACAATCATAAAGTACATAAAACGCAAATGCACCCGAAATGATCCCATTAGCATAAGCAGCTGGGAAGAGTGCATGTCCCAATTGAGTGAATGGATAAGACAAGACTAAGAAGAGTAATGGTGGCATCACTAATCGAAGTCGATCCATTCTACAGAAACCGAGAAAAAAACCAATCAGTTTGATAGTCAAGACATCGAGTTGATCAGATCAGATCGATCACGTACGGTAAATAATGATGTACTCCATGTAGTAAGAAATGTAACATGAGAAAGATAGGACGATCAGGTAAGACTCCATCAATATGAAACAAGAACCGATGAAGAACATATTCCAAGATAGTCCAAATCAAATTGCCCAACAAAAAACAACCCAAAGTCTTCGCCAAGCCAATCTGTAACTCATCACCATTCTCCAAATGTTGTTGTACCGATCTGATCCCAATCAACGTGGCAATCGGTAACCAAACCAATGGAACCACATACCAAGACGTTCTTGTAAACATTTCTAAATACCAAGGACCAAACAATCTAGCCGGTTGTGAAAGATGTCTAGGTTGATGAACTTGTTGAAGATAAAAGTTTTTAGAAAAGTTACAATTCCACATTTGCATAATCAAAGGTTGGTTTAAATCTAAGAATCGGTTTCGATTAAAATCATCAGTAATATCGGTTGAGCTCGGTTTGAAATCATCATCAATGATTAGGTTCGGATCTACTATCGTTTCGGGATTGCCAATGATCCCGATTTGGAATTCGTTCAACATTGAGTATGCTGAATCTGAATGAACATGTTCGTCTGGATCTTTCATGGCTGCACCGAGGTCCTGATTTGATCAATGTACGATGAGTTTGGTGATTGGAGTGAGTCAAGAGATGAGTACATACTTTACCAGCGTATTTGAGTAGTAATTCATCTCCACCTGGATGATCTGAAGCAAAGTGGCTGTTGGATTGTGTGAATCGATTGAGTTGAATGGAGGGTGAATGGGTAGTGGTGGTTGATTGATGGTTGATTGGAGTTAATGAAGAATCGATGAAGATTAGTAAATGGGGTTTCAAATCCATCAAGTTGTTCGAGTGATCAAGAAACTCAACGATAGATTATAAACCTTTCCATTGAATGAGACCCAAAGATCTTTAAGAGTCTGATGAAGAGCAACATCTTCGGGTAAATAGATTCGATTGCTTTTTAAATCTTGTGGTTCAGGTGTTGGTTGTTGTTTGAGTGAAGACATTTTTGTGTTTTGTTGAGAATCGAGATGAGTTTATGGGTTGGATTGAGATGGGATCGGTTGGTTTGAGTATCGATTGAAGATGATGATTAGTTTAAAGAGTGAGTAAGTTGAGGTTAATAAAAATAAAAATAAAAATGATAATAAAGATAATCAGAAGAAGCTCTCGAGGTTGGTAATCAAGGAAATGGATCAATAAGTTTAGCGATTCGATGCACACAGAGAGACACACAGAAACAGAGAGAGAGATAATTGGTTAAATAAGCCAAGTTTAATTGAGTTTGAAATGAATTGATGACACTTAAATTTAGTCTTAAGATTCTGAAATTAAACATCCAAATTAGATTACATATCAGATCACCAACCGACTTGATTCTTGAATGCGTGGATCTCGATTTGAAGTTTCAAGGATTTGGTTAATCTTACGTTTTCATCATCGGTGCCTGATCAAATCAATCAATTGATCAAACAAACCCATCCCTCAACCAAACTCACACCTAACCCATCAAGACTCTCACCCACTTCGACTCTTGACTCGAAACAAGATTAGTAAAGTAAATGCTAACAGCAAGAACCAGTGCAAAACACATTTATTGGATCATCATGTGCACTGATCCGATCGATCATGACCTTTATCCTCCGACCGACTCGATTCCATCTTTCACCGCCCGTACAATACATACATCAAAATCACTGCCGAATCCTTTTCGCTTTTCGGATTCGGATGGAGTTCGTCTCGGAGCACATTCAACCCGGCATCGAGGAGCATCGAGATACATATGTACCGATGTTTAACCCCGGCCTGTATATCGGACCACAACCTCCGGGTAAAGTTTCTTCAACTTCTAAAGAGATCTACATTGATCTTATGTGTAAGTCTCATTAATTGGAGTGATCTATGAACAATCTGGTGAAGACAACATTTTGGAATCAGAACCAATACAACTGGATGAGCTAAATGTTTGTAAGACAGCTTAGATTGCTATGAAAACTTATAAACTAAAAAATCAGGCAAGAGAGGATGATTTTTGTGGACGTGTCAAATTGTGAGTTGAGATTCTTAAAATGCCTATACACACATGATCATGTGCTTGGTGACAGTGTGTGCTTATAACAAGTGGTGTCTGTGACTTTTGGTTTGTCAATATATGGAATTTTGTAGTTAATCCCATTACAGCCATTCTGATATTGCTTGTTATGCCTCTTTTGAAAAGAAAAAGTTTGTGAACTTGAAACCTAAGTTTTAACTGGTTAAAACCCAAAATTTGGCTGTATTGCCTTCAATTACATCCAAGTTTGAAGTTTTATTGAGTAAAAACTTACGTTTCACTTTTTCTTTTTCAAAACAGAACAACAAGCAATATCGGAATGATTTTTTATTGCAATTTAACAGGAGACCAGATATCATTATTGTCTTACTAGAGCCAAAATGTGATTTCTTTTACAACAATGTTTTTGTGGTGAAACCATGAGCCACAAAAAAAAGTCAATTTTGAATAGATTTTCTTCATTTTTTTTTCTTTGACATGTTTCTTATGACCCAGCCAAAGCCATGTGGATGGTTTTGGCCCAAAAATATTATATATGTATCTTGTGTCTAGTATAGAGATATTCCACTTTCATAATTCAATTTCTACAAACACCAATCAACTTCCCTTCAATTGAGCATGGGAAAATCATTGGAAGTATAATTGGTAATAAAGCATTGATCACTACACACCTGAGCCATAGCAGTGCACCCACACTACATATGTACAGCAGGATGGGTAAATTGAGAGCCATCTTGTACATACAGAGATGCTCAGATATTGGCTCATCTGGATGAGTAACAATTTAGTTTTCTCACAATTGAACTTTGTAAAAAGAGATCTTTGGGGTCTTATTTTGAACCTAGTCTTTGTGTATGTTCATGGAGCATCTCACATGTCTGAAATCTGTCATCTGGAGCCTTGTGATGATGTTGAGATCACCTCATAAAGCTCAAGGTTCCATGACCACCAAGAAAGTCCTACTACCCATAACTGGAACTTGAAGCATTACATATTCTAGCCAAAAATACCATATATGATCCTACAGATATCCTGATCTATCTGATCACAAAGAGTCCTCCAAAGAACCTTTGTGTTGCATGTATCAGTACAAGACCAAACTTACCAATCTAAAGCAAACCATCTTCACAAAAACAAAACCATATCATTCTCAAAGACACAAGAAATCCTTCTTCCATTTCATGGTTCCAAATTGATCCCAATACCAAGATCATGGAAGTTGAACTGATCTGCAAGCCAAGACTTATCTACATATAATACACCCAAAAATCTTCCAGAATTCATCTCATCTCATCTCAACTCATCAAGTTTAAGTTTTCCAACCCCGCTGATCACAATACATTCCAAACCAAAAGTCTTGTGACTGTGTTACAAACGTTTTTGCTACTTAATGAATTTGAAGCCTTGAGTCAAGCCTGGCTCGCAGCGCTGCGCAGCGCTGCTTGCCGCCGATTGGGAAGCGCAGTGTAATTTGGACCGTCTGAATCTTGACAACTTTCAGCAAAACTAAAAAAAAACTCGCGGCAAAATGTCAACTGAAAGCTAAACTTAGGCCGAGCAGCGCTTCGCAGCGCTTCAGGCAAAAAAGCAGCGATTTTTTTTTGGAAAAAGAAAATGAATTCATATTGTTCAAGAGAAACATAAAAGAATGTCTAGAAAGATAAAACAAGCAGTAGTAAAGTATTTTAAAAGAGCGTAGAGAAAATAAAAAAAAAAAAGTTAAATTGAATAAAAAAAACAGTAAAACAAGAAAATTAAAAGTGAGACTGTCTAGTTTTCTTTTTGATTGACTTCTTCCCAAATTCTAGAACCTTGCCAACTTCACCAAAATCCCCAATAAGGGGCACACCTTCATTTGCCCAGATTTGACCACTAACGGTCATCTCAATCATCCGAGGGAGCATTCCACCCCGTTCAGCTGTGCAAACTCGACCTGCAATTGAAAACGATCTCTCAGGGGCAGCAGAAGCCGCTGGTGTCGCTAAATAATCACGAGCAAGAACCGATAGGACTGGGTATTTTCCACCTTGTGCCTGTTAGAGACAGATTGATCAGTACATGTTAGAATGAAGATAAGCGAGAAGATCACGTACTTTCCACCAGTCCAATGCGGTTTGTGGATCATTCATATCGGTCGCAGCCATTGGATCAATACCTTGAATGTAACGCTCGAGCTCATTAAGTTTGCTTGAAGTGACCACATCATTGTAGAAGTTTAAAAAGTCGTTGGTACCGGGTGGGGAGTCAGGTGGTGGAGTCGTGTTGGTTATTGGATCTTGATGGTCAGGTGAATCGTGTTGTGTTGTGAAGCACGATTCTAATAAGTCTTGAGCCCGGAAGTGATGGTTCGAATTGTTTCCAAAGGCGTGAGCAAAGAACTTAAGACGAAGACCGGGGTGAAATATCGCCGCTAGAACTAAGGTCTGACATTCAAGTGCCTCACCCAAATACTTGGTTATTCTATCTATCATAATATCTACCATCGGAAAGAGCGGATCGTTGTCGTGCATAACTTTCAAACGTTCTTCCATCGAAGATTTGAGCTGCACGTATTTTACTAATACCATACACCCGGTCGGTTTATCGCCTTCCATATCGCGAGTCATTATCTTATATGGCTATAAGAGATGGTGACGAAGAAACCAAAAGTAAGAAAAATAAACAAAACCATCAAGAAAAAGAAATGAATAAGAAAACTGAGCAAAATCAACTTCCAAACTTACCGTCAGTATATCTAGCATGTCCCTCATGGCTTGCCAATCGGCCACGGAGAAGACTAGCTCCTCAAAGTAGCCATCTCGTTTACCGTCCTTTCTTGGACGTCGTCTCTTGGAGTGCACTTCAGTCAAGTCCTCTTTCATAACTGTATCTATCAACTAATTAAAATCACATTTGTTAGCCTTGTCACATGAAAGAAAATATTCAAAAATGATATGAAACGAAAATTATACAAACATTGCGAGCCTCCCACATCCGCTCCCAACGTTCGGCTCGAATTCCCCAACGAATTCCATGCCCTGACAAGAGAGCCTTGAGGGGTCGTAAACCTTCAGCTTTGCGTTGAATATTAGCATGTTCTCGTCGCCGATTGAAATCGGCACGATGTCCACTCGATCGAGTCAACTTCTTGTTGACAGTCTCCATCTTCAAAAAGATAAGTATTAGAGGATAATATTCAAGAAATGAAAGAATAGAGATAAATATGAAAAACTTACATCTTTGGTGAGTTGCTTCATGTACGTGTCACCTAAAAGGTAAGCTTTTTTGCGGTTCCGGTAAATTTGAGGCTCATCTTCTTCCTCGATATCTTCTTCATCAGGGTCAGCATTGGATTCAGCTTCATCTGAATCACTGCTGTGAATACTCTCCACATCGTCACCATTATCACTATCAAGGTCGTCAAGGTTGGAATCTGGAGAGCCACTTCTTGCCTCGTCGTCTTCTTCGATCACTGCCAAAGTGTCAATGGCTGGAAACCTACCTAAAGCATGGTGACGAACCCGCATCGGTTTCATTCCAAGGGCGTCGAGACCAGCTTTGACAATCAGGCCCATCTTGTGACAGAAGCACCTGATGGACATTGATTTTGGTTTCCAACCAAAATCATGCCCTGATCGAATACCTTCATCATGCAATTGTCGGTGCATTTCCCGTTCAAGAGTGAAGTTGTTGCTGCCGGAATCTGAGACGTTGGCGAGCATGTAAAATATCAAAATCAATGTCAGCACCCGAAAAGTAAAGACAATTGTTCAAATTTGAAAGGATGATTAAAAATTAAAAAAAGAAAACAAAAAACTCATCTTTTGATAAAGATTGTTCTTCTTTAAGATCGCCACCATTGGCTCAGCGAGCAGGGTACCTTTGTGATGCCATGCCACAAGCTTGAAACTTAAGTGCCGGACTACGTACTTCCAATCTTTGGTAATGAACGAGACCGATGCCCCGATGAAGGCATGAAGATTGCCTTTCACCGTCCAAACATCCTGTATCAAACAGAATTTGCTAGTTAAGTCCTGTCAAAAGCAAAAGACAAAGGAATGATGATTGGATCAACTTGATTTTATTATCGAATGAAAAGTAAAAAAACTCACCTTGAGTTCCTGATCAATGACCAACGTGCGAAAGGATAAATATAATCGTTTCGCCTCATCGGCCGACCACTTTCGACCGTATACTCGTGCCTCAGGTCGTAGCCAAAATAGAATGGCCTTTAGAAGAGGATCGTCGATTCTCTTGAATGGTAGCGCTTGCGAAACTTGCCAAACAGTCAGACATTGGTTGAGTGTCTTGACTGAAAACGCTGGCGGGGCTGCTACAAATGTGGCGAGTGAGCCTTGATGAGCGTTCTGGAGACGTTGAGCTCGGAGTTCGTTCACAGTGGGTGGGAGCTTGGCACCAGCTGTGATGGCCTGACGACGACGAGGACAGCCTGCTCCTGCTTTTCCAGGAGCATTGCTTCCATCTCGGTGAACCTTGAGGTTTGATCGAGAACTACCACTGATACGAACTACCTTCCTACATAATCGACAAGTGTAGGACAATGGTGGTCCTTCAGGAGGCTATAGATGTTGTGATTGTCAGTCTTCATTGTTTTGATCAGAGTTCATGACTGAGACGCGAGAGAAGAACGAGAAATATACTTACATCTGGCTCGCCATGCTGGTTAACTCCATATTCCGGATCCTCAAAGTACACATACGGACTGTCGTATTCGAGTTCGACGGGCTGATTGCGTTTTCGTTTGCGAATACGTTCATTCTCTTCGTCCGAGTCCTGCCGCAAGTCAACTGTGGGTGGACCCGATAGGTTCTGGTGTTTGACATTTGGAATCAATCACTAAATGAGATAGAAATTTGAGATAACCAAAAAATTGTGACTTACCAGTGGCCGAAGACGACCTGAACCTGAAGTATTCACAGAGGATGAGCTAGCTACCCCAACCTCTGAGAACGAGACCGAACGTTCTCGTCGGTTTCGGTTCGAGGTACCGGTAGCAGTGCCCTACGTAATGTTTGTATCAATCATACAAAGGAAAGATCAACTAATCAGATACGATATTCATGAAATCTAAATAGAAAATAAAACGACTTACTTGGAATAAGGAAACTAAAGCACGAGCTGGTTCACCAAGATCTAGAGCACCAGGTAAAGAAGCCGAGCGCTCTCTGCGACGATGGACATGTCCATCGCGCACATCCCTACCTAACCCTAAGTCTACTAGACCACGGCGAGAGTCGGAAGAGGGAACAATCATTCCAGGCTGGCGTCTGGCAGGTGTAACTACACGAGAAGATCGTCGAGGTTGGCTGGCAGGTTCTTGGTCAGTCTCGTAGCCCGAAGAAACAAATGATTTAAGGGTAGATTGCTTAGACATGATCGGTGACTACGAAGTTCGAATGGTGTGGGTTAATGAAGTCAATGAAGTAGTTAATGGAATCGATCGAGTAATTAAATATGGATTGGGTTGATGGAATCGATTGAGTATATAAGGATTTAGAAAATTTAACCCAAAGATCAACAACTATAACTATAATGATGGGAGTCAATGAGATTGAATGATGGGAAGAAACGGACATACCTTTATGAGCAAGAGCAGTTGATTGGTCCACGATTTCGAACATCGAAGCCACTGAATGTCGAGACTGAGAGATGATGAGATCCAGCGGCATGGAAAGTATCGAAGCCACTGATTGTTGAGACTGAGTGATGATTCGATCCAGTGGCATGGAAAGTCCATAGCGCAAAGAAAGCTCTGAGAAGAAGATTGAAAATATTCGATCGATATGGTAAAGGCGCCAAATTGGAAAGCTTGAATTGAAGATCTTGATCTGTGCGCAAGGCGTGAATGGAAATGGATGGTGGATGGATGGTGGCTGGCTTTGGGTGGGTGGTGAAGTCTGAACGCAGGCTGGAAACTGGAAGGTCAGCGTGGGTTAGGGGTTCATCAGCGGAAAGCGCAACCTCCCGAATTTATGGCCCCGAATGATAGCGGGAAGTGCAACGCCGAGGTCCAGGATTCCGGGGCCAGCGGAGCGCCTGCGCCTGGCGCTGCGTGCTTTTCTCAACGCTGCGAGCCAGACTTGCTTGAGTCCTACAGACACTTGAATGTACCATGGCCAATGGGAATGAATATGAGTTGAACTTTGAACTTTTCAGCTAAAGAATATTAAAGGCTTTAAACCTTAATGACAACCTGTGTACCTATTCACCACTCTTACAATTTCAGAACTACAGACCAAGTCTCCCATACCATTCCATACTTCAAAACAAGTCAATATATAACCAAACCTAGATCAATCACCACTACCTTTCCCTTTCAAACTCATACATAAACCATTAAACCATTCAAATAAAAGAAACCAGTTTATTAATAATTAATGTTAGTTTTTTTTAGTTAGTTTCATTAAGAATGCGATTTTTTTTTATCACAACAACAACAGTAGTAAGACAAATCGAATAAAAAATGATAAAAAAAATGATTAGGATGTAAAGAGAAAGAGGGAAAAGAAAATCTTTAGAGGGATGTTTGTTATGGAAGGAAACAAAATGGTTTAGGATTTGAAAGGTCGAAGAGAATTGGATTAAGGAGAATTAAATTAAAAGAGAAATTAAGAGAAAAACAGATCAAGGATGAAAAAAAACAGATATCCAAAGGAAGAGAAAAAACAGAATGAATGAATGAGTTTGATATCTAGTTGATTTTTAAAATATAAATAATAAAAAAACCAAAAAAATGATATACTAATAATCCAACTTATCAAGTATGAATAAGTAGTAGAAAAGTAGTAAAGTAATCAAAAAAGAAAAAAAGTAAAAAGTTCAAAAGAATGATTAGTAAATTTTTAATAATTAAAGAAAATTAAATAAATTAAAAAAAGATTTTTTAGTATGAGTATGTGTGTGTGTTTTTCTCTAGTTTTAAAATCATACAACATTTTAAAAGAAGTCCATATAAAAAAAAGTAAATGATAAACTACAAAGAGATCAAGTTTTCACATCCAAAAAAAAAAAGTCATCACTAATCCCTTCCAGAAAAAGAAGAAAAAGAAGAAGAAAAAAAAAACGATTTCGAAAAAAAAGAATGAATTTTAAAGAGATCCAAAACCGATCCAACTGGGCGAAAAACCCACCAAACCTTCCCATGAATATACAAAATCCATCTTGTTCTTCAATTCCAAACCAACCTTTTAAACTTTAACAACCGATCTACAATTTCTTTTTCCAAATCGAATTCTACTTCATCTTCATTCTCTTCCAAGATCGATTTCAATTTCCCAATAGCCGTCACCTTCCCATTTCCATCCTTCCCATCCTTTCCAGTGCTTAGATCACTTAAATTCTGGGAAATAGATTGAGAATAGGAAAGGTTTCTTTGTGATAAGATAGGTTGATTGTTTAAAGAAATCAATGAAACCTTTGAAGGTTTTAAACAGATTGATCCATCTGATTTACAGGACCTTAGTTTCTTAAGCTTAGTTTCTTTAGACAAATCTCGATTTCCAATCTAAACAAGAAAAAAGGATTAAATGGTTTGGTTTAAGAAGCTTTTTGGAAGGAAATTGAAACACTCACTGGAGCTTCTGTGGTTATTCTTAGTGCGCTATGGGTAGGTTTTGGAAGTTGGACGGGGTCTAGATCGGTTTGTGTGTTCCAGGAAGTCGATGATGAACCAATCGTAACAGGTGACAACAACTACTCTCAAAAAACACCACAGATCATCCAAAATTCAGTTCGTGTGGTTAAACAGTAAGAAAAGCTTCAGAAGATGGACAACTTACCACTGAATTGGTTGAATCGCGTCGACGATCCTAAATGATCAACCAAAAAGAAACAGATCAGTCAACAGATCAATCGAGATCAAAGAAAAGCAATCATTACTGAACTGTAGAATGAGCACGAAACCTATGATCATGTGTAAAACTTGTACCAAGCGATTCAGACTCAGGTCCGATCAACTAAAAAACCCCAAACCCAAACCAAAACTCAGATTTCAAGCAACCTACTTCAAGTGTTTCTACAAACCGAAATCCAAAAAAGCTTACCTGATAAAATGAATCGTATTGAGATCTTCTATGATCAGGACTAAGTTGATGGTTTCGATGACCAGAACCAGATCTAGGAGAATAAATCCTTGGTGGTAGAGCTTGGTCAGGTGAAGAAAGCGAAGTGTTTGTAGTAGTCGTCATCGATTCAGTAAACATTCTTCTATGATTAAAGATGATTGATTCGGAATTCAATTGACGTCTATGAGTAGGTCTTTCTCCCTACCATCCCCCGAAAAAAAGAGAATCAGTTTCCTCTTCATTTGAAACTTTTTATTTATGTGGTTTTGGAAACTTACAGTTAGATTAGAAGGAGAACTGATTTGATCGTTTAATAGATTAGATCTTAAACTGATCCGTTTCGAATGATTTAAATTCACCGAAGCAGATCTAGCTAATTTATAAGGCAACAACAAAGGTTTAGGCGTATAGACATTCGAACTTCGATGAGCCAGTTTCGGAAGTTTTCTTGCTTTAGCTTCAAGCACGGCTTGTTTGACTTTTACAATGGCTAAGACTCTTTCTTGTTGATTGGTTTCGGTTGGAGACATCAAGTTTCGACGGATCATAGCGTCTTCTCTTGTTGTAGATGATAAGAGAGTTGATGTTGAACTTGACGATCTGATTGAGTCTGTTCTTGTATGGATCGGTTTGGTGGTCCTTTGGTGATTAGATTTGATGGATGGATTGGTGTGGGTTTGGTCATCTTGAATGGATGGTTGATTGATGGGTTTTGAATGAAAGGTAGGTTTGTTGGGTAATTTGAATGATGGACGATGTTCTTTTGATGGTGAAGTTGGTTGGTTCATGGATTGAGATGATATTAAATTAGGTTTCTTGGATGGTTTGATCGGTTGGTTTTCTTTGTTTTGATGATGATGATGATGAGAGATTGGACGTGGTGGTAAAGGATGTCTGATTTGATTAGTTTTGGAAACCATGATGACTTGATTGTTTGTGAAGATGTGAATGTGAATTTTTGTTAATCGGATGAATGAATTCGATGATCGTGAGTAGAATTGTAAAGAGAAAATGAAGAGTGAATCGATGAGAGTTAGAAACTAGAAATCAATTTAAGTCAAACCACCACATTCACATAGAACTTCCTTCAACTCTTCTTCTTCATCTCAAGCTCAAACTCAAATTATCAATTTCATTTCAATCTCATCTGATCACCCTACATATTCCAAAGATTGCACTCTTCATCAGCTCAATCTAAAATTACTATGAATCCAAAAAACCTAATCAGACGATATCCTAACTCACACAACACCTTCTCAGGTAGGCGAACCCCCGCCAAGAGCAATCACAACCAACGCCTTCAATGTGCGATCAAAGCCCTTACGTTTCCGAACAAATCAAAGAACAAAATTGACATTTCTGAGTTCAATTACATACATAATGGTATGACCAGTTCATACGATTTGAAAGGTAAAGATGATCAACACAAGTTATTTTGATACTATCTCCTTCCCACCATTCCACAGTCATATCAATCCTGCATTCACCTGTGGTCCAACCAATTCAACCTTTGAGCAGAAGGACATAAACCTTTTTTTTTAAAAGAAACAAATAAAGTCAGATCAAGAAAGATATTAAAACAAAAATAGAATAGGTTTACTTCTAATTACACATTTTTTGCTTGTTACCTCTCCACAGTATCTTATTTCATAGGCTTAATTTTATTGATTGAGAACATTGGTGAAGGCCACAGGCTTCCAGTCTTTCCAAGTCATATTTCCAGCCTCCTTCTTGGTTAAAGACTTGTTAAGGAGAAAATCAATCTGGGAATAAGTCCACTTGTGCTTATTGGGCTTTGAAGGGTTGGGGTCTTTCTTGGCTCAAGACATGGGTGTTGATAGGTTGAAAATAATTGAGAAAAGATGGAAAAAGGAAAAAAAAGAAAGAAAGATTGAAGGAGGAGGAAGGGAGAATGGGAATAGCTGACCAACGTTTTAAACATGTTTGAAGGCAGATACAACATTAGCTGTGTTCAAACCTAACCTGGTTGCCAAAAAAAACTTGGTATGTATACTCAGTTACTTCTTTGGTGGTAAACTTTGTGTATCAAGTTGACATTTATTAACAGCTCCCAGCCAAAATTTCAACCCAGGTTAGGTTTACAATCACCAAATTCCCACACTTTACTCCTTGCAAGAATTCAAGCAAGTGAGTTATGACAAACAGGCAGGCTTGGGCTTGTGAAGGGGAAAAAAGTTTGGGTGAGGAGAATCTTTCCTCCAGCTTATAATTATTAAAACTTTTCATCCCATTGATGAGTTTTCTAAGACCAAAGAAAACTCGTGTTTCTCCTTCTAATTAGACAATTGTGAGTGTCCAAAAAAAAAACTTGACCCCCTCATCTTTTTTTTTTGCTCACAGAACACAACAGGATTGTAATGTTATGTAGTATATTGTATCTCAAAAATAAAATATTCTTTTTGAAGGGAGCACAGGCCTACTGTAGGATCACAGCAAGGGAAGAGTCACTCCTAGACCTGTGTTATCTTTGAAGCTGGGATCTTAGAGTAGCCTGATATTCTGAAGAATATACAGGGATTTCGTACAGCTATGTGTTACGAGAACTTAAGGTATTGACTAAGTAAAAAGCACTTACTGTTAAGAGCAAGATTTAGATAAATTCTGGTGGATTCAAAATAAGTGGTAAGGAAGCACAGAGCAGGTTTAAATAATTTAACTGGGTTGTAGAATCAAGTTGACTATGGAGTTAAAGAATTGAAAGGGATTCAGTGACTAGGTTATGACAACTAAGATTTATTTCCGAAAAGAAAGTAAGAGGCATTTGGGTTACATTTATTTTATGGTATTAAGTTTTAAGAAGACATCTGGATCTTGGTTTTGAAAACAGGACAAAATAAAAGATCATCTGGGTATTTCTGCTAGATAATTAAATAGAACATATAGACAGAGATCAAGTTTTAGAACTGGATTCTCAAAAGGAAAGACAGACTTTGGTCCATGTTGAAAGTTTGATGAAGTAAAATATGATGCCCCTTCATTCTGGTGGCAAGAATCCATAGCTTTTATACCTTTCTTGAAACCTAGTTGTATAGTTAATTTGATACTTCAGCAATATTTTTTGCTGGTGTTGCTTAATTATGTCTGTGGCCAAGAGAGTCCTCTGGCTGGTGTTTTCTTAAGACTTTCCAAAATCTAAGGAAGCATGTCATCTGATATTTTCTTTGGTGCTATCTTTTGTAGGTAATAGTATTTTATTTATTTATTAGTTTCTTACCTAATATTTTCCTTACCCAAAGTCCTTCTTGGTTTGTGAACTTTTGATAGTCTAGTAATTATTTTTTCTATACTATCTTCCTTGACCTGTGAGTTTTCTTCTTATCATTCTTAATAAGTTCTTTTTATGCTTTCTTATTGTATCATCCTTCCAAGGTTTTTTTACATTATTATTTCATAAGTATTGTGATTTGTCATTCATATGGGTCTTTGAAACTAGACTGTCAAGTTGTCATTGTTATATTATATATTTTTTGTAATGGTTTTGTGAATCTTTGAAACTAGATTCAAGGTGTAATGTTTTATAATTTAAAAAGTATCTGCAATGCGGACACAGGGTAATTTTACAATATTACTTCTTTGAAGTGCTCTTGGAGCTTAGGTGTAAGGTCTTGAGTACTGAAAGTGTACCACATGAAGACCACACTTTACATTTCTTATCATATCCTTGATTAACAGTATGTCCAACAGTGCACTCCTCACAAATACAGCCGGTATAGTGAGTTTGAATAGTTCAGCACACTTGCAGTCCCACACACTGAGTATGGCCCAGATCCACAATACCTTAACATCCAAATTTGTCAAATTGCTCAAGTAAAGTGGTGATACCAGTGGCACAAGTGTATGTACATTAAGGTTTGTAAGAACCCATGATGAATGTATTGCAAGCTTTTACAACATTCTAGAGCCCTCAGAAAAGGACTTGCTCAAAAATCCTGCTGGTCTTGGGCCAAAGTCTGTGTATAGGCCCTAAGCTTAAGTAGATGTGGCTGTTTTGGAAGAAGGGCTTAAGCTTAAGCTTATGGTGAGACAAACCTTTAAGATCTTAGCGAATCCTAAGCAAATTTCTTGTTTGACAGTCAACCCAAACCTTTACTGCTTGATCAATATACTATGAAGCCTTACCTCTGTCTCTTCCTTTATATACCAGCATTTGTGGTGATGCCAATGGATTCTTTTCTGGATTTGAGGTGATTTATATTTCACACTGTAAGAACCATTCATTTAGGTTAGATCTACATTCAATACAACAATTTTTGTTTGTGATTCATCAAGATTCAAAGACACTTATACTGAACAAATGAAGATAATTGGTAATGGATAAAGTTCACTACTCTCACTTGAATCATGAATCACAAAGCACATTCAAAAGCAATCTTGAGGCCTTTCTTTCAATCCTGTTTTGCCTACATACCCCTATGTATATGCCTTCTATCTTTTTCTCTTGGGATTTGGTCTCAAGCTCTTGGTCTTGTTTTTACCACAGAAAATCCTTTGCTTCTATTTTTTCTTCCCGAGAAATATCATTGGGTTTATTTGGTCTTACATTGTGATTGTTATGGTTTGGTTGGTATCTTTGGGTTTGATAAGTTATTCTTGATTACATCACTAGTCATTTCTTTCCAGCTCTCATGGAGTTTCACTAAAGTACTGTTGTTCTTCCAAAGCTTGCCGAAAATTCCATACCAAACTGCTTGAGTTTTGCAGGAAAACTTGGACAAGCTTTTTTGAGAATGACAGGACTATGTACAGTCACAAAAAGCTTGACAGATGCCTGTCTGACAAAGCCAAGTGATTTGGCTTGGAATTCTTTATGTCAAGCTTGGTGAGATTGGTTTGCACATGTCACTTACTTCTTGGTGGTGTTTGAAAGGTTCAAAGAAGGAATTCAACTGATTCATGATCATGTTTGTTGAGAATTTGTTGGACTATTATTCTGCAAACTGAGTCTTGAGCCTTCAGCTTTGGGCAATTCTGGTCATTCAAAGATGGCATACCTGCCACCATACCTGCCACGGAAGTGTTGTGTACATACAGCTGTTGTAAGAACTATTGGTAAATTTCGCGGGGTTGTGTGTTTCCAAGTTTTAACTGGGGTTTAATCTGTCGTCCAAAACTCTTTTTTTTTTTGTTTTCACAGGCCTAAACGTTAATTTGATTCCGCAAAATTATGTTGATCATAGCTGTCTTCAGCTGTCTTGTAATGCTTCCAAGCATCAATTTCCATTCACGAAAGTTTCGAAAGTCTGAACAGGCCTCCGGTTCTTATACCGACCAACCTCAACCACCGTCAAATCCTCCACAGGCCGCTTCAGCCTTCGACCCTCTTTTTGACATTTTGGGGCTTTCATCCTTTCGAATGGTACGTAAAAACATGTTTCTGCTTCTTCATTACCAAAGATTTCAATCATAAGATACTCATCATGAGAACTTCAATCAACATAGGCGTCCCATGGAACACGGATCCTGACCTTCATCAAAATTTCAATAACAAGCAAAGAGGGTATGTGTTTGGTTTATCTTCAAGACTTCGATAACAATGTTGATTGTTTCTTTCAGTATTTTTGTTGCAATAAAGAAAGGACGACGTTTCTATAGAACGATGGAATTCCATCAACAATTAATCAATTCTTACCGAAGATTTCTTTCACGGTTTCTTCTTTCACGGTTTCTGTGTTTATTTTGACCGCAAGAGTTCCATTATGAAGTTGATTCATGCTTGGCCTCTTTTTTATGAATGACAGAAGAACAGCGATTCTATCAAACGATGCCGAAGATTTCAACCACGAATTCATATCTTTTGATTTTATTATGGTCACCAACATATGAAAAATGGGGTTATGACCTCATATGACCTCATGAGCCCATATGATTTCATAACGGAAAAGGCGGTTGCGTTTAAGAAAACGGGGTTGGGTTTGATGACACCCAAAAGGTATAAATAGTTGGGCTTTTGCCCAACTATTCTGTTTAACTCATCGATCTCACAAAGTACAATCTTTATCTTTGACCTGGCTTTGTCTCAATCTTCTGACCAATTTGTCTTCGCTAATCTCGCAGGTTTCGAATTTCTGCCATCATAAACCTGCTTTAAATCTTTTCTTGACACATCACCTTTGTCTTGTTTTCGGTGTGTTTGTTTCTCTCTGTTTTTCTTCTTTCTGAACCTGACTTTTTTTTTGGATTTTTTTTTCTAATCCCATCGTTTTTTTATCATTTTCCTAATACCATTTGCATGAGCAGCTTGACATCTTCTCGATTCAACACAATAAAATGTCTAACCATCAAACCCCCGTTCCAAATGACTCAGACGTGCCCGCGGTCCAAGGCCACATGAATGCACGTATGTGCAACTCCTTGCTTATACAGTGTTGATTTGCCTAAACTGAACCCCCTTATATTTTCTTCAGTTTTTGATGAGCCGTCTAATAAAACCGGTGACGACGCTCCTGCAACATGTAGCCAACAAAATCCGCTGTACCGGATCGGCACCGTGCCTCGGATTCAATTTGACCAACGAAACGAAATGATTGTCCAGGTCAAGTTCAAAATCCATACGGAAATGGAAGTTGCAGCTGAACAACCGACGTTGATTAAGGTAGCTAGCAGGACTCGCAAAAGTGCTGCTAGCGCGGCTGTCCGCTACAACTTGATTGAATCAAAGATGTTCAATCAAGGTAACGTCATTGATTTGGTGAAGTGTTTGTTTGGGAAGTCGCTAAACGACTTCAAAGGCATGTGTGGCGACATATGTGAGGAGTACGAACCCGGAATGCGCCACATGGTTCTCAAAAGCGACCTTGCTCCGCGTTTGAGATGGATGGGTCAGGTGGGTCGAGAAAAGGTATTCCTTGTGGACTGTCTTACCTGGCAGAGCTTTGTAGATTTGCTTGCCAAAGCCACCAAGCACAAGGGCTCGGTGACGATTTATACTGAAAATCCCAAGGAACAGGCCAAAAAGGTTGCTCAGGTTTGTCCTTAACTGTCATTCTTTTTCTGTCATGTATTCATCTTTTCGTTCTTCTCCTCTTGCTTTTAGACCAGCGCCGCCAAGCAGTTCATTGCTTCGGCGAGCGGCTCAACCGGCGCAGACGCGCAGGTGGGGGAACTCACCAAAGAGTTGGAGGTTCGTGATTTCTCTTTTTACCACCCCTCATATCCTTTTTGTTCTTTTTCATTTTCACGAACCTGAGCTCGTCGTGTGATAGGATGCGCGCAAGCGCATTGCGCTTCACGAATTAACGGCTCAGATCTTCCATGAGCAATCCCAAAAAGGGACCTCCGGCGATGGGGCCATATTGGTTTGCCCATGGGATCCGAGTTTCCAGTACCGCATGACGTGGAACGGGGCATGGGTCTGGGCAAAGGGCGTGGTCAGTAATTTCTTCTGTATATACCCTTTTTCCTTCGATATCATATCCAATCCCATGGTTTGATTTCATTTCAGCAAGCCGGAATGGCTACTCGTGAAATTCCCCCCCGGACCTACGAATACCTCGCTATTATCAAGAAATCCCGAGTGTTCCACAAGGGATTGAAAGTTGACGACCGAGTTAAGATGCAATCGTCTCATTTGAATCTCGATTTATCCCCCACCTTCAAGAAATCTGGAGGTTCTACCGAGAATTTCTTTGAATCACCTGCCCGACTTTTATTTCAAAAAGCGTCTAGTTCCAAGAGATCTGCGATCTTTGCAGATATCGGTAGGTCTGAAGATAAACAAGGTCAGGGTCAAGGTAAGCTCCAAAGTCTTCCTGTCATTATCTTGACATACTTCTCTGACCATCTTTCTTTATCGCCAATGCAGAAGACAAGAAAAAAATTAAACTTGAACCCAGTACGTTCCTTTTGATTCCATCCGTATGAACATCATCATTAACCAGGGGTTCATTTGTAGCCTCGCCCTCTGGAGTAGGCAAAGGGATCACGATAGTGCTGTCTTCTGATCCGGTGGAACCTACCAAAGGGACTTCGTCTCAAAATTTCAAGATACACATCAAGGATGAACCAGGTAAGCTTCCGATTATGATCTCCTCACTGAGCTTAAAACCTGTCTCAATCTGACCTGTTTTGTCTTTCTTTCTTTCTTGCTTTGACTGTTTGTTTATTTCTCTACCAGGTAAGCTTCCGATTATGATCTCCTCGCTTAGCTTAAAACCTGTCTCAATCTGACCTGTTTTGTCTTTCTTTCTTTCTTGCTTTGACTGTTTGTTTATTTCTCTACCAGGTAAGCTTCCGATTATGATCTCCTCGCTTAGCTTAAAACCTGTCTCAATCTGACCTGTTTTGTCTTTCTTTCTTTCTTTCTTGCTTTGACTGTTTGTTTATTTCTCTCTTTGTATCGACCGTGTGTGATAGGCTTGCACTCTCACTCTGGGTTTGGCCAAGGGTTATCGTTTGGTTTATCTTCTGGCCCAGGCAACACTCACGCTTTGCAAAGCATCAAGAAAGAGGACACGTATGACGCAGGTACATCCAGTTATTCATCTTAGGAGCCTCTATCTAAATGACAGATTACTGACTGCTCCAATTCGACTTTGATTATTTAGCTGCTAGCTTTTCGAGCTTGTTTGGGCACGGTGAAACTGT